AAACAGTGGAAGCCTCAGTGACACAGAGGATCCCTTTAACGCCGAGCTGTAAATATGCCAAAAACATCTCCATATGCTTGTTTTGTTTGTCAGCTTAATGAAGACATCTCATCAGAAGATAAAAGCAACCGAGCGCTTACCGGCTTTCTTGCACTATGCTTCTGAATTTTAGTAATCTCTTCAAGGAGCACCTCCCTACCACAGATTTTACTCTGGAAGAGAAGCTTAATACAGACATAATCCTGCTTTTTGTCATCTCAATGTGAGATTTATGCATGAACACCTCACACGGCTGTCTGCAAACTTTAATTTTTAACAGCAGGATTTAAGAAAGCGTATGCTTTTATAGATTTTCATGTGTGTGTGAGCGGGTTTGTTGGGGATAAGATGCTGGAGACGAGTGCCCACAACAACAAGGACTTCACCCTACTGCTCACACCCACCAAGTGCAATCTGCTTGAAGATAACTCAGTTGGAATCATTTCCAGACCTTCTGCCCTGAGTGACATTCACACATATCCACTGTAAACATAAATGATTCTCCCCCATTTATTCCCAGGTTTACTACATATAAACCCAGGAAAATAGTAATAAAAAGTCAGATTTCAGCTTTCTGTCTCCAGCAAAGTTACAATAAACTGATGGAGCAAAACAGCAACAAGTCTGCAACATTCTCAGACAGATGCACAGAAAAGTACAGTTTGTCCTGCATTTTGTTGTTGTCCCAGAATCCAGAACAGAGATTTTAATACGTTTAGCTTTGACATGTTGGTGGCTGACACTCCAAAGCCCAATAAAGCACTTAGAAAAATAACTAAAGGTCATTATAGTATTGCAGTTTTTTTGCTTACATTAGGAGAAAAAGAGAAATACTAACTCTCAGATTGTTAAATTATATTTTGAAGTTTGAAGTCTGTGGGTAATTATGAAATTAGAAACAAAAAGTAACTACGGTTTTGGACATATTTACGTACATTGCACTTTATAATAAACAAATTAAACACACAACGAAAGTTAACAACATAAGCGTCCAGTCTGATGTGTTTTCCTCCCTGTCAGTTTCATAACCGATACATTCTTCAGCATCGTTTATCTCAGTGAACCATAATTGGCAGTTATCTTTTCCTCATTCCTGTCATTTAAAATGATGATTATTGTTATTATTTTTAAACCGCTGGCAGCAGTGAAGGCAGCAGCGAAGGGTGGATGCTCAGGCAACTAAACCAGACCGGGATGCGGTGCTGCCACCGCCGCTCGTCCTGCTGCTCCAGCTCGGAGGATTTCAGCACCACCAACAAAAGGAACAGCTCCGCGAATCAAAGCGGCGGCGGCAGCACACACAAACACACGCATCCACTCACCTCCAACAGCGCAGAAAAAGGTGTAAACAAGCAAGAGGAGCCTCGGAGGGCTACATCCCGAGCCCCGACGCTCCAGCTGCAGCATCGTTAAAAGCCGAACGCGTTGTGAGGGGGGCTCCAGCCCGGCTGCAGGTCTCAGGCGCTCTGCTGGTCTACATTTTTTCTGATTATCTGCCAGCGACCAGCTGTTTGTGCATGACGTCATTCCGACGACGACGTCGCCGGCGCCTCCTCTTCAGCTTTGATTTGGCAACCTCAATATGTCGAGCGATGTGATTGGACCAGCGGCCTTGTCTGTCCGCCGCACGCTGCGGACGTGGACTGCAGCACAGGGCCTCGTCACAGCCGGAGCCGGAGCGTCCGCCGGGCCACCGCGCACAGGAGGCTGGAGAGGACTACAGAGGCTGCAGCTGCCCCCCGAACCTGCGACTCTGTCTCCTTCTCAGGGAGCCGACACAAGGTTAGCAAGGACTTAGTGCTGCAAAGCCCCCTAAAATGTGTACCTATTTCTGTAGCAGTGATTTTCAACTTTACTGTCTTTATTTTATGTTTATCTTTGTGGAAAGTTTGTCTAAAGTCCTTGTTTCAGAGTGGATCCGTTTAAATGCAGTGCTGTAACATCTAACTTGGACTAAAGAAACTTGTTGATTTTGGGGAGAACTAAAAGAGAAAAAAAACCTTAAGAACTAAAATTTGCTGTAAATTATTTTTTTCTTGCAAGAAAGATCAAGAATCAAGAATATTTATTTGCAGTCTAAAACTGTGGTTAGAAACTTAGACTCTTTAGAATGAATCAGTCATTTTCATTGACGTGCAGTTACACAAGTACAATGATAATCACCCTAATATGGCAAAAATAATATTACAACATTTGAGTCCAACACAGTATTAAACTTCAACTTTGTTAGCGTCGAGAGTTACTGCAATGTTAGCTCTTAATTTTGCACAAATAGCTCTTAGTGGAGATTCAATTTTAGCCGGGCTAGTTTTATTTTCATTCTTCTGTTTAATGTCACTGTTGACATTTTTTTCACCTCAGCTAATAGGTGAGGTGAAAAATAATACTAATACTGATTGCTTCAAGTCTGTTGGATTCAGATACATCCTTTAGCTCCCATAAGGGAGACAGGATTTGCTGTAGCCTTGGCTACATCTCTCAGTAATGGTCCAGATAAAAGCAAGACTGATTTTAGGGATCCATATTAAACTGACCAGGTATTGGAACCGTAAGTTTAACTACACAAAGTGTTTAGTGTTTTTGAACTAGCAGCTTCAGAAAGTTAAAGTAACTCTAGATTTTATCTACCCGTATCGGGTTTCATCAGGTGATTTAAATTATTGTAGCAGATAATAGCCAATCTCTCTCCCCTGGAGCTGAACAGCGGAAATTACTCATATTCTGGCCTGAGGGTCATCTCACCATGAGTCATTGCAATCCAAGCAGATTTGTTGAAGAGAGAATGAGCTCCTGAATGAAGTCTGTTTGAAAGGCTTTCTGAACAAATTATTGCAGCTGGACAAAAGAAAACATGATCTGTAGTTCATTTAGAGGATAAATGTGAGTTTGTGACACATAAAAGAAACAACAATGAAAAATTCAACCAAAGGACTTGAAAATATCCGACATTTTCTTAAAATATATTCACCAACAGACATAACATTTTGACCACCTGAGAAATAGTGCATCAGACTCTTGTAGATTTACTAGCTAGTACTACGATGGTAGCACTATGACATTTAATCTGTCAGCTGTCAGATGGGGCTTCCATGTATTGGACTGTTTGGTCAGCAGGTCAAATATTTGCTTCATTAGATTGATATATGGAGGATTTGGAGGCAAGGTCAACACCCCAAACTAGCTCCTAATCTTTTGTTATCTCCTTTTGATTTATGTCAGGGTACATCATCCTGCTGAAAAACCACAAAGTGCAATGACACCTTTCAAAGTAATACCCACATGCGTGGCAGGATTCAGAGTAAAAGCATCACACACATGTTACAACTAAAACAAAAACTGCCAATGTGGGGGAGTTCTGACACTGTCATGGCAATTGTTGGTGCTTTTGGTGGCGGTATGGGGTCAGCATTAACTCCCTGATGAGTTTGAAGCTTTTCATCCCACTACCCAAAAGGCTGCAAAACATTTCTGTCTAAAACAACATCCACACCTTCAGCAATCAGAGGACTTGGACCCAGTCGTACACCTCAATCTTGCTTCACCTCATCTTTGAGTACAAGACCTTCATCCTTCTGTGCCATGTTGAAGAAATAATAAATGATGTTTATTATTATTAAAAACTAATAAGGATACAACTAGAAAAAGTTATATCCTAGTCCTGTTAATACCCTAACAACTACAATACAAACACAAAATCCTCTATATTTGAAAGTTTCTGAAGATAAATAAGTGATATTTGGTCTCCCTACAGATGGATCAGAAGGTGGAATATGTTACAAAATAAAGAGGCTCGAAAATTTCTGAAACCTAATAATTAAAGACTGTGTTGGTTTTCCTTCGAACTTTTTGTTTTGCAATTGGTAGAGAGGAGGACTGGTGTAGTATTGATTCCTGTAAAACAAGAGGAGCAACACTTTGTGGTTGCTTTTGAAATATAAAGAGAGCATTAGATGTTTTATATAGCTCTTCTGTGTATTGCTTTTTTTGTTGCTAACTTATTAACTAGGCTTCAAGCTAACATTTTTAAAGCTCTCAAAATACGAACCGACCTTCTGAATGGCTGAAGCAAATGTTATGTAGAGAATAGGTTTCCTGATGGTAGTTTTTGTTCACTTAATGGACATAAAAGCTCCAACCTGAGAGAAAAAAAAAGTACATATTGATCAAATCCTCTAACATATCCAAGAGTAATCTTTTAACTTTACCTACTCAATGTGGCTTTCCAGAATTAGCTCAGAACAACAACATAGTTTAATTGTAGAAAACATATCAAGAAGTGTAGAATATGATAGATTGGCCAGTTAAACGTTCTCTAATAATTCAAAGTGGAAATCAAAAGAAATACCATGAATAAATGATCATTCGAATCAATCAAAAACTAGCCATAGTGGCAAAGTCAGTGAATGATTACATTATGATCAAAACCTAATTGCACGTTGAGCATTATAACAACTTAATGGTGCCTCTGTGAAGGCAAGCTAATGGAAAAGTCTCACAACACTCCAAACGATTAAAAACGTCAACCAAAGTAGTTTTACATTTTGGCAAGTAGCAAATTAAGCTGCCTCTTCTGAGTAGGGAGCTGCCTATGGTGGCTCACATATACAAAGACACATGGTCATGCTGCTTTATGCTGATGACGAAATGCCCTTTAAATTACTGTTTTTAACTAAATCAAATAAAAAAGTTGTGAGGTGACATCAAATATGCTGTTTTTGAGGATAAATAAAGCAATGCCAAGGAAATGTGAAATGTGTGAAATCTGTGTTTGTCAGGGCGCTGGAATAATTCTTTACAGGTGCCAGAAGTCTGTTGACTCTGCAACATAGATGTGAAGCTTTTCATAGTGGGTTACACAAATAAAAAAATAGCTGAGAGATTTACAACCCTAAACCTTCAGGCATTTTTTTTATTTAAACAGAAAACATGTGAGTTTGCAAAAACAAAAAATGCAGCACACCTGATATTCCCATTCCTTTACTTTCTGTAGATCAATAAGAAATTAGAAATGCATTCCTTCAAACAGAATTCAAATCATTATGTGTCCATAAATATAATAAAACTTTGAGCTTTACTGTCTTTAAAAATACATGCTTGGTATTTTGAACTCAGCTATATTTAGCAACGTGGAGGTTCACTCACTGTTTACACAATATACAGCTCAGCTAGAAAACCCTTATCTGCATCAAGTCGAAACAAAATGTCAAATCACACTTCAGCTGGAAGCTCGAAATACTTTGTTTTCAATAAGGCTTTTCAGATAAAATTGCTTCAGCTCTAGCAGGTGATCTCTGTGAATTGAAACGATAGAAAAGTTTATGCATATCAGTTTAAAAAGCAAACCTTTGATGAGTCTCACTGATGTAATAAAAACATTAATTCCTTTTTAGCATGTGGCTGATTGCTTTATTAATGGCATTAGCCAAGTCCAGCTGTAAAATTTAAATCCACATCTCCAAAAAGTTTGTCAGCTGCATTAATAAAACACAGTGGACCAGCACCGGCAGATGACACGATAGACGCTTCACTCTTCAATAACATGGACTCTGCGTCTCTACTTTTTCTCCAGATAATACCTTGACTTACTTTAATCTGAATTGAGGATTTTCTACCACTGAGCAATTATTTTTCTTAGCTCGGAGAGGACAGCTGTGATGAAGTTTCTGGTTAAGGCGTAGTTTCGCATACGGTACGTGACAGCTGTAGCTCATTACCTGCACACGTGGTCGTTAAAGTACAGACTCCAGTTGCAGAACAAGACTTTATCTCTTTTAGTCGTACAGCTAGAGGAAGGTGCACAGTATCAGGGATGATCCAGCATTGAGAATTGTAAGGCAAAGCCCAATTTTCCCTCCTCCTCAACTTTCTGTTCAAATGTTTGCACACAGAACTCTGTAAAACCTAATGTTCTTTTCCCTGGCTTTTTTTTCTCTGTGGAGAAAAAAAAAAGCTTGATAGTTGTCTGTAGGACAACTATCAAGCAAGTAGTGTTATCCATGATTGTGTGGGTTATAGAATAAAATTTGGTCTGATGTAATATTCTATTTTTAAGAGAAACAGATTAAGCCATCATCAAAACAAACAGTTTATATGACCCCAGGAAAAATGAAGTTTTCCTTTTTGATTTGACAGTGATATAACTCGTCTTTTTGATGACAATCTAGTGTATTGAGATGCCACTCACAGCTGTGCTGTTGCCTTCGATGAGCCTCACTTGACTTTCATCTCTTTCACTAGTTTCATCTTTGTTCAATTGCCCAAAGACATTTTATTTTCTCTTAGATAAATCATCTAGCACATCACTGTTATTCAGTGTGCTCGTCTACGTGTCTGGCCATTTGTCTTGACTGCTTTTTAATCCAATATAAGCAAAGAAAGGCTGTGAACCTTGGAGGCAGAGCACTCTGAAGCAGATCGAAAGCTTGCCAGATTATTCTGAACAGACTGAAAGCCAAGCTCTGCTCTGTTAGAGACCTGGAAGATGCGCAATAAATGATCGTTTTGCAGACGGGCAGAAACTATTTCCAACAAAGACAGTACAGATTCAGAATTGCTATAATTTCCTATGGCAAATCAATGTTTCTCACAGCTCCAGTCCGTTTCTTTTGTGAGGCTGAAGACTTTTCTGAAATATCTGCTCTGTCTTTATCTGCTGAACATCCACTATTTGAGAAGCCATGATGTGAAATTTTGGAATGCCTCCTACAGTGACATTTGGAGCAGGAAGATGAAGGTCTAGTGGGAGGTGTGGGCAACACATAGATAAACTCATGCCCACATGATGCCCTGTTATTTCTACTTTCTCTCTCCATGGTGAACCTCTCCACAGCCCCAGTGCATCAACTACCGTCATTCACAGAGAGCGTGAAGGGCTTTTGGTTAAGCACTTTAACCAGCTGAATCCATGCAAACATGTAAATCCAATGATGCACCAAATCCCTGATGCAAAACTAAGAGGGTGAACTGATTCACACGGGAGTGAAACTGTTCAGTAAAATAATAAATACCTAACTAAATGTAAAAAGGCAATCTTTAATTACATAAACTGCACCACAACATATGATACCATATACATACATATGTATCATTTCCTCTTTTGCTCAATCAAAGGCATTAAGTAAGGAATTCAGAAAGCCAGAATAAAAACACCCTTTAGGTCTCACTAAACAAGGTATAGTGTATCATTTTTGGCTAAATAGTGCCCCCTCATGAGGAAATGTCTCCTTGCACTATTAATAGGTCAAACAATTAAAACTTTAGGGTTTCATCTCTTTAATCTTTATTTAGAGTAAGTGATAAAAACATAATCTAACCAAGAAAAAATGTTTCCAAGAACAGTTGTTTGTACAGTGTACAGGCACAACTTCATTGTGGAAATAACCCACAATGAGAACTACTTACATCATCTATTCCTCCAAAGATGGATTCCTGTTGAAATCTGTTTTCCACACTTTACAATCTATGCTACAAAGAGATGTCTATTTACATCATAAACTACATGAAATTACATCCTAAACACTCCGAAGTGGGTCTTTTTTATTGGTGCGTTGAGTGCTGCGCTGAGGCTCAGTCCCAGAACCAGACGAGTGTCTGCAGGGTCAATGATCCCATCATCCCACAATCTGTAAAAATAAAGCATCTTACATTGTTGGCCAGTTCTCATAAATGCACAGTGGTTATTTATTTTCTAATTCAGTCAAATTCCTTCTATTAATTCCTCAAAATAATTTTCTCAAAAATCGAGTGGTGCCCCCACCTATTAATTTTGATCTAAATTATTAGTTTATAATTGTCTGAAGCCATTATAGTTATTCACAGCCAAAACTTGACAACAAAGTCCAGGCTTTCCCTCAGGCTGAGCCAATACAAACCAATCAGTCTGAACCAAATGTTCTTAATCTTATTGATCTAAACATAGTGCTTACTGCAAAGCAGAGAACTGATTTGTGTGTTTTTTTTTGTTTTGTTTTTCTTTACAGGGGCTTTGTTAGCATCAGGCAGCATCAGATTAAAACATAGAGCGCAAAATGCAAGGCTTGTACGCCTTCATAAAAAAAACATTAAAAGAACAGACATGTTCAAAAGTTATATTAAATCTGCCCATTTAATAACATATGTATTGATTCAAATAACAAAATCTTCTTTTGATAAGCTCCAGTCTCACATGCACACTGATCAATGTCCACAGGACTAAATGAAAAGTAATTGGAAAAAAAGCAACAGGAGCCTTAATGGAAATAAAACAAATTCTTGCGTCACTTCTCATGTATCAACAGACTGCCTTGCTTGGGTCCAGGATAAAACAGAATTCCAAGTACTGAAAATATTTCAAAATAAAGAGAAGCAAGACAGTTTTGTCAAATATTATTATAGCTTCATATTATTATATTATTATAGTGAGGCAGGTTTTGTTGGTGAGAAAACAATACCTGTCTCAATACCTACCTGTCACAGGTATTGAGACAGGTATTGATTTCCAAACAAAAAGAAATAAATAGAACCATCGTGGAGGACATGGTTCTTTTTCAGTACACTCGTGCCTCATAAATGTGATGTGGCTTGACCAAATCTCACCTGGCACTGGAGTAATATGGACTGCCTTCCTCTTCAAACCGACGAACAATTGGTTCCTTCATGGCAGCCTCTTGTTCAGCTGTGAACTGTGAATAAATTGTGAGAACAGAACAGGACAATGAAGGCGCTGGAGGCATTTTAAAGGTTGGTCTGAATTATTGAAGGTGAAGATGAAATGTAAAGCTGAAAGCACACAGCCTTTCATTTGTTATGAACGCTGCTCTTGTCCGCTTGGAAATACTGAGCCAATTCTTCTAAAGAAAAAAAAAAAATCAAATAATGAAAAACACTGAGGACACGCAACAGCTTCCCACTGCTTTTAGTTTAGTTTCAAGGATGAAAGGGGCAAGCTGTGGATCTGAAAAACTTTCAAGCAAAAAATTCAACTAAACTTAAAACTAAACTATGTAAAAGGAAAAAAAAATCTTCCACATATTTGGTGTTCTGCTGCACTTTTAAAAAATTGCCCAAGTATTTAGTCCTTTCTATAGTGGCCCATTCTTATTTGTGGGTTAGTAATCACCTATGCACTGCCGTTTCTGTTCAAAAACACTTGACAAAATCCATCTATTCTATTTTTAAATCATGACCGCAGATGTTTCTTCCCTTCTCTCTTGTTGAAGCTTCTTATAGCATGACGAAATGCAGACAAATTAAAAGTATATGAATACTTTAGTGAGTTTAGTCAGTTTCAACAAAATTTCTGACATGCATTTTTTCTTCACCCAGGTTCAACTAAGAGTCAGAGCTTTGAAAGAATTTCACAAAATACACGCTACAGTTCAGTGTGCTATTTTTTCTTTTTCTTTCAGATGGCTTACACATCATTAAATTGCCAGTTTCCACGGCACAGCTGTGTCATTGTGAAGCAATTAATGCACTGTTAATACACCTATAACAGCAAACCTGAGACAATTTAATTACAGCCACTTAATGTCTGCACTGTTCTGGATAAGGCATCACAGTTTCACTTAACGCTGATCTAATTTTATTCTGTAGTGATTTACCATCACTGGAAGAAATGTGCCTTTCATAATGTTTATTCTTTTGGCAGCAAATCAGCCACAGACAATTTATGGCTGCGAAGAGAAGGGCAGATTTATGTTAAGGTATTACCTCCTTTCCTTCACGTGTCCTCTGATCTTTAGTGATGGTGGCCAGGACTGTCGCCGCCTGCTCTCCTCCCATTACAGAGATTCTTGAATTGGGCCACATGTAGAGGAATCGGGGGCTGTGAGGAAAAAAAAAAACAATTATAAATTGAATTGCAGTCTTTTTAGTAAAATAACACCCTGAATCTTGAGTAAACCGAAAATTGTTTATTTACAAATATATGAAACACGTTAACACCTGGTTAAAAGCATAAAAAATAGGTTATCCTAAGTTACACTTTCTAATTGTTGTTGAATGGTGTATATAACTAGTTGCTAATTTGCAAGAACACAATCTCTCCAGTTTTCCTGAATGAAACACTTGAAAGCAGACAGTGTTCGTGATTAGCACTGTGGCTATTGCTGCTAAATTTCACAATAAAAATCTAATTTGTGATGAAAACAAAACTTAACTTCATCCATAATAGTTACATAGCAATTACTTTGATAAAAAATAATACTTCATTCTATACACAGACCCCCAAGAAACAAATTGTGTGTAGTATCTTGATGACTTTACAAGAACATCTCAATGCCTTTATAAATTATTTTTTGCTGCATTAAACAACAAACATCATTAAAACAAATATTAGCTTAGAGAACATAAATAAATGGTGCTTACATAACTCCATTTATAGGAGAATCAAACAATGGTCATTGATATTAAAAGTAGAAAATGTTGATATGTTTTGAACATATACGAAATGATAAAAACAAATCTAGATGAAGTTCTTATTGTATGAAATGCAAGTTTAACAAACAGCTGATATTTTAAATGTCTTGTCTTTATTAAAACAGTGCAGTAAGTGTATTTTCTGCATTTTAGATGAAAATAGTATTTCATTCCCACGAAGTTTTTTTAATTCCTAAAAAAAACAACTGGTGTTGTGAATTCAGCATCCCAAATCCAACATCATGTCGCAGTAAATATTTATAAAAATGTCACAACAATTTCAGATGGAAAGAAAATGTTTCTAAGGACATGTTAGGCTCACTGGTTTTAGTCTGTTCTGTCATTCAGAAGCTGGAAACAGCTGCTGACTGCTACAGTAATTACAGCTAAAGTGGTTGCTCCCTTGTTAATTTTTTTACGTTGCTACTGTGAGGCATTAGACAAGCGTTTTACAGTGCCACTACATTTTCAAAACCAAAAAACTTGAGTTCGAGAGTTGTGTCGGAGTTAATTTCCATGACAACAGACTGCTGTGAGGAGGCACCAACCCATGCTGCACTGAGCTGCCTCTGGTTGGTGTGAAGTACCAAATGGGAAATACTGGTGGCTTAATGGAAACATATTTTCTGAGCTGTTAAGGTGGAACGATGGTGCAAAGGAGGTTCTGAAAATAAATATTTCACAACAAAAACAGCCTGTTTACTCAAATTTAGAGTATGTTGTTCTCATCCTACCAAGCTGACATCAGAAATCAGCTTGTGTCAAATCAAATCATCCAGTCTTTCCATTAACTAATGACTGGCCTGCAGTCATTAGTTAATTTAAATTTCAACATATTGTGTAATTAGACTGAAATAACAGTCTTGGCAGTGGACAATATTACTGAGTCATAATGAATTATTCTCAGTTTCACTGATCTTTAGAAAGTTAAAGTGAAGAAACGCAAGAAGGTACATCATGCTGAGTCATGTCAGCAGTTCAATCATGCTGTTGTTTTGCCTTTGTAGTAAAATATTCGCAAAACCATGTTTAACACAAACTCCTCTCCACCAAGCCCAGGGGGGTGTTGGTTTGTTTGTAGCTGTTTTATTAGCTGAAGTTGCATGGGCAGAACAAAAAACTGAAAGTGCATCCATGAACATTTAGCCATGTTCATGTGCGACACTGCAAATGTGTCGCACATTTTGCAGTGTGCAACTGCAATTTTGCAGTTGCTTCATGGCTCATTTTCTTCATGTGATGTTTGTGGTCCTCTTGGTAGCAAGGAACAAGTTTTTATAGTTTGTGTACTTCATTTTAACAGATTTATAATATTTTATTTAGTTTGATTTTGGTTTCTGATTCATAAAACTTTTCTTTTTAGATGCCAATTTATCGATTTTGAGATTTAGTTTTGTTTTATTATTGAGTTTATTAAAAATTTTTTATAAATTTTGCATTACCTTTTTGCTTCTGGTCTTAATTAATCTTTTGTATTGATTTTATTTTATTTTTTTTAAAATCTCAATCGTCCAAGAATTGCACATGAAGGTCAACACTTCAAAAACAATGCAATATGATAGAAAAAATGTTACACAAAGCCCACTGTATAGAATGTCAATGATTGCTGATAAACTTATGATTTGTAGACAAACCTATTTACCAGATATGAAATTATATTCCTATAATCTCCAGTTATCTTACTTTTTTCTTGATGGTTTTCTAAGATGAAATAATAAAGCAAACCATAACTGTGGTGAAAACTTAAGATGACTGAAAATGTCTTTGGCCTTTAAGTGATTCCAAGAAGAAGGTCTTTGTTCATAAGAAAGCAACATTTCCACATGTATGTAAATGAGGCATTGTGAATATGAAACCAGTACAAGAAAGGGAACAGTTTTTAAAGGTTTTTTGCTTCTGTATCAAATCACCCAACCCAACAGCAAGAGACTACTTTATTATACCTGTACGCTCTTCCACACATGCCGTAATTGCCTGCACCGTAGGAGCCTCCAATGATAACTGTTATCTTTGGCACATTGGCACAGGCAACAGCAGTGACCATCTTAGCTCCATCTTTGGCAATACCTCCAGCTTCATACTCCCTTCCCACCATGAACCCTTAGGACAAAAAAATAAAAAGAAGAATAGTTTGCCACTGCAAAACAGTGCATCAATATTCCAAAAGAGGAGGAAAAATTTGCACCAACCTGTTATGTTTTGAAGGAAAATCAGAGGAATGTTTCTTTGGCAGCATAATTCGATGAAATGGGTTCCCTGAATAAAAATATTTTTTTTTAGTTATTACTAATAGGAGAGCTGCCAAGAGGTAAAATCTCAGCTATGTATCTTCATTCCATTAAAAGTCTTGGCATCTCAAGAGTAAAATAAGTACATATGTTTCAAATAAGATGCTGCATCAAATATAACTGTATGTCTCAAGCAATAAATAAAATCCAGGGATGGATGGATACACCAAAAATTATTTTCAGGTACTATCTGAACAATAGGCCTTCAAAAACTGACCAAATAACCCAAAACATTCCCTGAAAACTGAGCTACTAGCATCACTTTTAAATTAATATTTTTATATATTTGACATATAAATAGTGAAACCTGAAAAAAGCTGCAGTATTAAGGAAGTATTTTAGTTGAGAATTTACTTGTATTCGGTTGGTTCATATCAAGAATTAAACACAGAAGAGTTAGAAGCTCCTTAAGAGCCAAACAAAATTCAAGGCTGCTCTGTCATTATTTTAAACACTAATGCTTTATTTGGGGTAATGTTTTAAGAACTTATTTTGGTTCGCTCGACAGGGAGATTTCACTGCATTCAACATTGCACACAACTTGTAAAAAGGAGTAAAAAGCAGACAATTAGCAGCAGTTGTGTGGTAAGTCTTTGCCTAAGATCATCTTTCTATCGCCCTTACTTCTTTTTCTTTGCACAAATACCTGACAGATATGCTTTTCAATCACCCAACACCTTGTATAATTGAAGCCTAGACCTGTTTAAAGCAATGACAGTGTGTCTCATAAATGAATCTTGAAAACCAGGTGATGTATTGATTTTTGTTGAATATGCTCTCCAAGCATGCTTTCTCCACACGAACCACTGTCGGCCCTTTTTTGACAGTAATTACTCTGATGAGACAGCCTGTCTCGAGGAGACCCGACAATAAGAAATAGAATAAAAAGTCTTTTTTTTTTCAGAAGTGAAGCTTGTAATCTAATTTAAAACCTGTTTCAAAAAAAAAAAACAGATTTGACTCATCTTTTTTTAATCCTGCCGTGAAGTTCAGCTCTGCTCAAAGCAAATTGGCTTCCAAGTTAACTGAATCATGCAAAATGACAATTATGAATGTCCTGTGGTTTCAAACTCTAATGCTATTATAATAGCCTTTTTAGAGAACTTATTGGAAGACAAGTGGAATTTAAAAGGTTACTTTATGAGAGAAACTCTGCAGCTCGACAGTGAAGGGTCAATGCAAAGCACTTATGAATGCCAAAGCTTCTGCAATACAAGCGAAACATTCAGGCATTCTTTGTGAGCAGCGAATCTCTGAGGTCATCCTGAACCATTTCAGGATTCTGCTTTAAGACCTTGACATTTTCAGGGTGCATAAATGTTATATTGCTCTTTTTTCAAGGTGACACTCATATTATTTTTTAGTTCCAAAGGACAAGTACCTTTTTTGCAGACTCTGAAAACAGGACTCCATTGTTGCCAATAATTCCAACAGGGTATCCAAAGATTCTTGAGAAGCCTAAAAAAGGCACAAATTAGATATTGAAAGGTGAGGCTGACAGAAAAAGAAACAAAAAAAAAACAACCTGCACTGTAGAAATTGAAAACAATACCAGCCTGTATACCTGTAACAAGCGTGTCTCCATAAAATGCCTTGAACTCATCAAATTTACTGCCGTCCACAATTCTGGCAATAACCTGCAAACGAATGAATGTGTCAGCTCATAGAGGTGTGTAACGAAATGTCAGAAAACAAGGCCCTGAGGCAGAAAACCGAGCTGCATTGGGCAATAATGTCACAAATTTTACGAAACCTGCTTTATTAAAGTGATTTGGCCGCATGCTGTGTTGGGCTGCCTGTTCCTGATAAAAAACAAGAGCCCTGTAAATAAAAAGGAGCAGCTGGTTGTTCCCAATACCTAAACAGACCGCCAATGCTGCTCTACACCACAGACGCTGTGGCATTGCTTGAGTTAACAATAATTTCTGCTCCTGAGTTTACATCAAGTATCAGAGTCTCAGGAGAAGACAGAGAAGGAAAACAGCGTGACTGATACCAAACAGCCACAATCAACTGAAAACCTGAACATGACATCTCAACATTGTTCACTCTGAGCCTTTAAAGCCATGTCTGTGTGGCTTTACAAAGCTTAGAGTTAGTGCTGAAATGAGTAATTAGATTAATCGTAATGAATCTATTTTTTTTAAATAACTAATACAATAATCGGCTAATTGTTAACTGCAGAATACAGACTAGTAATTAAACCAAAACTGCACAAACATTCATGCATTTTTAAGTTAAGATAAAAACAAAACCTTCTTTGTCTATAAATATGTTATACACAGAACTCCTCAAGTGAAAGAAATAGTTTCACTCGGTTCAAGATCTGTAAAAAAATCAGGAAAAAAACCTTTAAATGTATTTCCAACATTGTATAAAAAAGCTTAAGTGATTAAACAAAAATCTACAGAATGTGCCATGTTTTTTCATCACATTAATTGTCAGAATAAAGAATAGAATAATTGATTTCTAAAATAATTAATTGTAGCCCTATTTAAGATTAAACACATACTAGTGTGTGGTGGTTATAATTTGTTTTATTCTTTCCCTTTAATTAAATTGAGATCTATTCAGCCTCAATATCTAATTAGCATTCGGAGAGGAGCTCTGGAATGATTTTTACTTCATTATGTATTCCCATGTAAGAGCTCAAAAACAAAGAAAACCTATCTCACAGTCTAACGCCTGAAAGACAAATCATCACATCAAAGATCATCTTTTCTGTAGTGCGGTCTGAAAAGGCCAATTACCTCTCTGATATCAAAGTTGCGTTTCAAGTTATCTCCAACTATCCCGTAAAGCTCATCTGAGGGATAAAGGGGGGCTTCAGTAGGTTCTACAGTAACCTGATAAAATAAAGTAGACACAGATGTAATAGGCAGTTCAGGCACAATTAGGTGACCATAATTAGCAATTACAGGAATCGTTGGATTGACCTCAATGTTCTTCCTGTAGTTGAGACTTCGGACCGTCTTCCGAGCTAAATGGAGTGCGTGGTTATCATCTAAAGCGTAGTGGTCTGTCACGCCAGATTTTCTGTGAAATTGGAAGCAAACCAATCACAATGGAGCTATTATAGAATATAAATCAGTGGTTGAGAAATGATCATGAAGATGAGAGCAGGTGAAATATGCCGCCGTCGATGCAATCCGATTTGTTTTTGCTATCAAATAATTTCAATCAGGGAACAGAACACTAACACTAAGCTGAAATTAGAAATTGCATCGCTGGTATATGTGCAGTGGCTAAAACAATGTTAACAAATATAAATCTAAATGCTGCATTCATACTTGCAGTGCAGATCAGCACCACCAAGATCTTCTGCAGATACTTCTTCCCCCGTGGCAGCTTTTACCTATCGAAGAAGGAAGTGTTCAGAAAATTAAACAATCACAGAAATGCTTTCCACCCTTCTCTGCAGCCAAGATGCTAATTTTATAAATGAAGAGATTTTAAGTAATTAAAAACACTTTTGAGTTTTTCTGAATAATTTGCTAGTTATCCTCTCTCCCATCACCATTTCAGTATTTTGGGACAGGATCTTTTATCCATCTTGTACATTCAAGTAAAATTACTTGCAGTAATTGTACATAATCTACAAATAGTTTTCAAGAAAATTTGGTCATACAACTCTAATCTGTAATGTCCATTCACAAGAGGTTGCGCAGAGTTATTTTAGATAATAATCTGTCACATCTGATAAGATTCAACTGAATCAAACACAGATCAGAATAACAATTAATGGAAATTAACGGTGTAATATAAAAAGCATTCAACAAATAATATTCGATTAAATCTAACTTTTAGAAGTATTGTGGTTTTCTCATTACCAAGACAATACTTCACTCTCCAGAAAAATAGACTGACAGGTACAAAGTGAATGAGCCAGTAGGGAGTTGTGGTATAAAGGTTTGAACTACCCCAAAGCGTATTAGCAGCATTTATTTTGTCCATTCAGTCTTCTAACTCAAAAACAAACAGTACCAAGGTCATGCTTGCAGAGGCATGCCCAACAGATGCAGAATATATGGGCAACTTGCACAACGCTGCATTCATTATGATTCTTATAACACAGCAGGTGTTAAAGTTACTGAGAGAAATGAAAAACAATCTCCTCACAGCGTGCTTCAGGTCTTAACAGATGAAGTATCATTTTCCATAACTGCAAAACAACACCGCACTGTCAGACTGGAAAACATTCAGGATGCTTTAAGGGCACAAGCAAAGATAGGAAAGGACATCTTCTTAAAAGTTTCACTTAAAGGTCTTTGATAAACTTAGATGAATGTAGAAGAGCACATGTGTCAAACTCCAGTCCTCAAGGGCTGATCTCCTCCAGTTTTTAGATGTACCACAGGTACAAAACAAAGCTCAATTACCTCCTCCTTTTTTAGATATGTTTTGCAGAGCTTATCTACACAATAAGCTAATGATCTAATTATTCTGTTCAGGTGTGGTGCAGCAGATGCACATCTAAAAGTTGCATGTCACTTGCCTTTGAGGACTGGGATTTGACACTCCTTCACTCCTGTAGTAGACTGTGCCTTTGCACTGTTCTATCAATTCCAACATGCCCTCTGCTTCTCTACATTCTGGAAAAAAGAAACGTGTTCCCAACCTTCTCTAGCTAGTATGATTTTTGCTTTATAAGTCAGTTCAACAACTCTCCAATGATAATGCCTCTTATACACCTATGGCATTAGTTTATAACAGAATTCTTTGGTTGCTGGACATTTCTGTCCTTCACCATTGCCTGCCTTTGCTGCTCATTTCATATCAGTCTGCTAAAACGGAACATTTTGTACGGAACATCCATCAATTTGTACCAGTGAGTCCAGAGCAGCAATGACACCGGGTCTCTTGGAAGCAATAACTTAAAGTATATTTCATTTCAAATGTCATGCAGTCACATTTGGTCCAATTGAATAGACTAACTGCACTTAATAGGACCACCTAATATATATTTCTGGTGCCTGAGACACTGAAGCCCAAAAAATGTGTAAAGTAAAAAGTAAAAAAAAAAAAAAAAAAAAAGATAAGAAAATGTGAGTGGTAATAAAAAAATGTCATCTTCAGCATCACAATTATATATTTTCCTCCATTATTATGTGTTTATTGGTACAAAATGAAAGAATGCAGGGATAAATTAGAAATCTGTAGGTATGAGATGTTGACATAAATTCACCCAGAAATGACCTTATACACTGTTTGCTTTTATAACAACAGTCAGGATAATTTCCTTTTTTCACATAGGATCTTAGGGTACTTTCACCCAGTAGGTAAAAGATTATTTGTACCCATATGCAACCCATGTCTGTCTTCTTCATGGTTGTCTGTATGGCAAAAACACAATCTTTTTATTTCCCAAAAAAAAAACTGATTTGTATCATTTCCATGTATGGCATATGCAAAAAATATCTGGTTTCAGCAAAACATCAGAATTGAGCATAAAGAGCTGCTATGTGAACATAGGTTTAGTCGAACCTTGGTTCTTCTCCTATGTCTCACTTAACAGCAGCTTTTAGGAGATGGTAAAAATTTCACATCAACTGGATGTATAAAGCAACTCATATCAGTGAGAATGGTGTAACCTATAAATTTGTTATTATGGGAATCTTGTTCTAAATACATGCAATACATTTCACTAAAAATGGCCAACCAGCATAGCTATGCAGAAAGTTTTTGCTGCACAAATCTTTTTTTTTTTTTGGTAAATTAAACCAGTGCACATACTCTCACTATTTCCAGTTTTGTGAATGCAAAAGCTGCTCAATCATTCTGTCCAGCTGGAATGGGAATTACAAAATCAAATGTGATGCAATGAGAGTATGCAACAATTCACATAGTTCATCTCATGTTTGCAAAACAGAAAGGAAATGAAAAATTTTCCAACCAGAGGAGGTCCTCCGAGAAAAATTGTTCCTTGCTTTTGCACAATGATGCTCTCGTCTGCCATTGCTGGAACATATGCTCCTCCAGCCGTGCACGAGCCCATCACAACGGCAATCTAAAAGGAAATAGGAAGTTAAATCTTCACCGAAGCATCTATAATGCAGAAACATCCCTTCCAGCTTGTTTGAAGTACAATAATAAAAAAATTGAAAAATTGTTGACTCTGGCATTATTTTTCTCTATGAAAGTTTCACTTAGTAGTGCGTTTAAAATGTGATACATTGCAAAAATGATTCACAACACATTGCTTTGGTTTTAAACCCTAAAACCAAAGTAATGGCTTCCAAAAAAGTTCTGATTTCACAGCTTTGACTCAACTTTTTTGGGGATGCTACATCAAACTTGTAGTCTTTCAAAGTTTAACAACAAATGCATATAATTTTACACACACTTTTTATCTTTCAGCAGGCAAAAATTACAAAAAAGAAAGAAAAGCTGATGATGTGTAACTGATTAATCTTTTTTCTCCACATTTTTCTCCTTTGAAAATATTTATAAGTAAAAAAAGCAAAATCACTGCCTTACTATGCAAATCTATCTAATCTCTCTCTTTTTTTTTTAATAAAAACCGTTTCTAAGAGCATGAACAAATCTTATGAGAACATATTTTAAGCTTCCATGACAGAAAAAAAAGATTCTTGAAAATATTATTAGGGGATGAAAAGCAAAACTCCCAGAATGAAAAGTGAAATCTGAAATGTTTCTAGACACTGTTGATGAATGACCATTCAGAACGGTGACTCAAACATTCAATGGTTCTCTTTAGTAGATTCAGTGAAAAGAGCTGAATTCAATAACTGAAAAGATATTGCTGAGCTTAGTGCTGCTACTTTGGAAAAAAAAGACATGCTGCTTTGTTTGTTCCTGTTATTACATATATGTTGTTACTTCAAAATTGTATTGCAAGAAAAAATACGTTTCCTTCAGAACAACAACAAGAAGTCACAATTTCTCCATCTGTGCTCTAGATGCAGCTACTAAGACTTAAACCATCATAAATGGCAATATATTGAGTAGGTTTGCAACAGGCTATGCATATAAGGTAAACAAAGGGAGAAGATTGATTTCAACATTGTTAAATTTGAGCTTGTCAAATAAAGCCTCACCTGTGCAATTCCTTCTGAAGACAGCCTGGCCTGGTTGTAGAAAATGCGTCCAAAGTGATCGCGGTCTGGAAAGACTTCGGCCTGTCTGGGAAGATTGGCTCCTCCAGAATCCACTGAAGGGGAATTCAAAGATTATATATTTGAATATTTAGATATTCTATCAAATTTTGGAAAAACAGCACAACTATGTGCACCTCTTGCTAGTCACCACCAATAGGAGAATTGTTTTCAGAATACAACATTCAATTCTTAACTAAATAGTGAAAAAAAGTGTTTTTGACATTTTTGTATAATAAATTTTTATTATGAAATTGCTTTGACCCAAATCAAGAAAACGTACCCAAATAGATGCATGGTAAATGGTTCTGCTGAGCAATTTCTTGTGCACGAAGATGTTTTTTCACTGTAATTGGGTAGTATGTTCCTCCTTTCACGGTGGCATCATTTGCAACAACAACACATTCCACCCTTGGAAAAAAACAAAGCTGTTTAAATTAATCATTTGAAAACTGCACACTGTCTTGGAGCTTGTCTTCTTTCATTAAACAGTCAACAAATTATTGTGTTCATTACTTTTATTAAGGAAAATATCTACAAAAACGCTTCAGCACTCACCCTGAAACCCGTCCTATCCCAGTAATCATCCCCCCGGCAGGAACATCCTCTTTTCCATACAACTCATATCCTGCAAACTGGGAAAATTCCAAAAAAGGAGTCCTGCAAAAACAAGAAACAGAAGCTGAATACTGATCATAGCTGATTTTTAAGTGTAGATGAGAAAATGAAACTAACATAACAAAATGAAATGGTTATCTTTGTGCAAATCAGATGTGAGCCAATCATTTTAAATTGAACTAATAGGCAGATGATAATACCCTGGATCCAGCAGTCTATCTATTCGCTCTCTTGGCAACAACTTCCCTCGAGATGTGTGAAGTTTCCTTGATTTTTCTCCTCCACCTTTAGTAATAACAGCATATCAGATTAATAAACACTGTAAATTTATTTTCATTGTATTATAAAAGCAAAACAAATAAGATGTAAAAAAAAAAGTTAGCTAAGGTCTCTATTTTTTTGTACCTAAGACAAAATTGAACTTATTATTAAACTCAAAGTAGTTTTAGTAGAAGACTAAACGCAGTTCTGCACAAAAGGTTTGGGATCAGATGAAAATGTTCTTGTTTCCTAGGAAACATACATTAAATTAGTCTGAATAGTAAAAATAGCAAGGGACCAGGTCAGGAAAAGATCAGTGCTAGTCAGTTATGAGTGTTAAGAAATAACATTTTAATGGAAATGATGAATGTCATCTTCAATCCTTTATTTCATATGAATAAATTAATGTTTATTTCAAATAACAAAAATGAATATAAAAAACACAAGATGCTCAAAAAGTTTTCTTTTTGCTTTTGTTAAAAAGGACATTTGCAAGTGATTTAAAAGTTTCTTGCTCTGTACTTTGTTATGCAATGTGTAAAACAAAAGTCACGCACAAACAGTTCATCTGAAGGCTTAATTTTCACCACAAAGTGTGCTTTTCCTGGTACTCACCCAACTTGATTTTCTCTGTCCGGTTTCTCAGTTCATCTACCAAAACTTTCATTCGCTCATAATTTTCCTGTGAATGCAAGGCAAGGTAATCAAATTTATATAGCATTTTCAGCCAAAGGAAACTCAAAGTGCTTGTCCATAGCAGTTAAGAACAACATACATCCAAACAAATTTAGGTCAGAAAGATTTGAAAGAAAAGTAAAAAAAAAAAAAAAAAAAAAAGCAAGGATGTAGTAGGCAACAACAAATCAGCAAATAAAAAGAATCTAAACCTTGTTTTAAAAGAGTTCAGGTTGGGAGCATTCCTGCAGTGAATAGGGAGCTTATTTCGGATTTTTGGTGCACTAAACCGAAGGCAACTTCAGCATGTTTTGCTCTGACTCTTTGGATGGTTAATAGGTTTGATTCAGACATTCTTAAAGGTCTTAATGGTGTTGAGAATTGAAGAAGATCAGAGATGTACTCTGGGCTTTTACTTGTAAGTGTTTTGTAAACCCTTCTTGAGATTTTAATTTTTTCTTTGAGTAACAAGTAGCCAGTGCAAGAACCTCAGAGTCAGACTGATATGCTGCTTTTGTAAGGACTCTTGCAGTGCCATAAGAGGTCATGATAGAAATGTTGTTTACACACTTGGTTATTGAAAAAAAATTGCCCAGAAAGTGCAAAGCATCAAAGATATTTAATGACTAAGCTCCCATATTTTTAAAAATCAAAATTCTGAATAATGTTATTCCACAATATAAATTTGGAGTTGTTTTAAGCGCGATGCACATCTGTATTTTTTCCCTGAATAAAACTGAAATAGCAAGGACGTAGTGTTTCCTTCAGTAAGTCCAGAACAAGCTGGACTGTTCAAGCTACTGTAGTAGATTCAAGAATAAAATGAGAGATTACTTGTTATGCTGCTACATCTCGAGCAAAACTTTAATCAGAAATAACTGTCTTTAGTGACATCTAGTGTCAGTGTTGTGCCTCTACACCAAGCTAAGTGTCATATGAACATAATTTAAATACTGTCATTGTAAACAAAAGAATTCACACGTGTACACATTGAAACTGCAACCTCAACAATGTCTACAGAAAGATTCAGGCGATTCTTTTCAAATGATAAAACACATTTCGCTTAATTTTCAGCAAAACTTTAAATATAAAATATGTAATCCATGTAAATCCCACTCCTTTTCAATTTGGGGAATTACTTCAGTAACAATAATGTTCTTAAACATAGCTTTGAGTGTTTCTGTCATATAACATTCAGTTTCTGCTATATATTATGAACCATATAGAATACAGTTTAGGTAGTTATGCATGTTGCCAAACACTACTGCAACCTGACCACGGTGCCCAAACTGAGTTTCAACCTCGCCTGGTTTAACTCGAACGTAACGTTATTTCCCCAGTTAAGCTAACAGGCTATAGCAACAGGCTAACCTACCTGATATTCGGAGGAATGTTTATCAGGTTGGGATCCGAGCCGAGCGACGCTGTCAGCGTAGTAAGTCCGTGTACAAGGCAGTGGTAATACCCTGCATCGAAGCAACAACGGCCTCACGTACTGTAAAAGCATTTTAAAAACTCACAAATGGGCAAAATGCTAACTTAGCTGCTAGCTTGTCAGCTGTAGTGGAGACAATCTTCTTCTGTGGTTGACGTTTTAGGGCGGAACGTTCTCCGTCGCCACCTGCTGATAATGAAACGCATTTATTCAAGTTTTTATTCTGTTAAAATAAATCAATTGTTTTAACAGGTTGATTGAGCGACTAAATCATGTTCAGTAGCTACCAGATCAAATATGTTTATGTCAACAAAACGACTGAAAATTAAATATGTATTTATTTCCTCCCAAAAAGTGCATGTGAAACTAAAGGTTAAAGAATATCCAGTTTATAGAAACACTCATGTCATCTTGAATGAAAACGTCTAGAAATTAATATTAAAGAATAATACTTTATGATTAATGAAGTATGGAACTGAAGACTTTATGGCTTAATTTATTAAACTGTATTCTATATGGTTCATAATATGTAGCACAAACTGAATTTTATATGTCAGAAACCCTAAAAGCTATGTTTAAGAACATTATTGTTACTAAAATAATTCCCCAAATTGAAAAGGACTGTTCCCCACAGCTCTTGTACTACTGTGGGGAATAATACTCAGAGAATCACGGATCAAGACTGCCACCATGTGGGATAAAAAGTGTACTTCAACTGAGCTGATCTCCACTCTTCATACATCTATTGTCTATACCAGTAGTCTGGAGTCAAGTATCCTCCAACTTGTAGATGTATCTCTGCTTTAACACACTTGATTAGAGTGTGTTAACTAGAGTCATTAGCATAACTCTAGTTGCTAATTCAGTCATTTGATTCAGGTATGTTGGATCAGGAGTATGTCTAAAAACATGACACTGGACCTCAAGGCCTGCATCTGAGAACCCCTGGTCTATACTCACTAATCCTCAGAAGGTCACAGAGGTGCTTATGCCTGTCTTCAGAAGTCTTTTGGCAAAGAAGGCAGGATATACCTTGCACAGTCCATCACAGAGAACTAAAAACAAAAAGAACGAATACATTCATATCTCACCAGTTCTTGGACTTTTTGAACATAAATAACATGGAGAGAGTCTACACATGCATAGGGAGAACATATAAACCCTTGACATTCTAGCTGCAAGGCAGCTAGAATGTAGCTATGATAAACTGATATTGATAGTAGCCTTGACTTGTGATGATGAATCATAATTCATAATGTGATAAAGTGGACTTTAGTATGATACTTTGGAGTTTGGAAAGGTTTGCTGTCTCATTTAATACTGTAACTCATTTTCCTTTCATTTGAAGCTATGAAGAGAATTTAGTTTTTTCTTGGAAGTAAGGGTATCTTCTTTATTCTCTTCTTTATGGGAGCACAATAACTTTTTTTATCTTAATTTGTTGTTTAGAACAGAATTTTATGCTTTTAAGGGGGTGGGAAAGAAGCTGAAGCATCCTGAACTTTGAAAGCATATTAAACTGTTTTTAATTGAAAAATATGGTCTATTATTTATTTGGTGTAACAGATAGTCTAAGGCAGGCTTAAATCATGTTTTGTTAACATTACACTAATTTCACAATCTGTCTTTGGATCTCTCCACAATGTACTCTGAAATTTTAAACATTTTACAATTTTATTTTATGCTTCAGCAGTTCTCAGTTCACACAAAAAGGCCATTTTCTTACTCAAAAAATGGGAACTAAAGTTGGATTTAAGTGGGAATCAGAGTTATCCTAAAAGCGAGGGGGAAAAAACTAATCTCTTCTGACCTGAGTGCTTTATTTGAGCTGAAGTACATTCTGCAGAGTGCAGGCTGAAGAGCATTCAAACCAAGAGCTTTTAGTTCATTTGGTTTAAAGAGGCTTCTCTCCTCCAACACTCCCACCTATTCCACTGGCTTGCATAGAAATGTCCATGACCTCCACTCAAATGGCTGCTCCTGTTTTCTTAGGGAATATCAAATCCTCCACTTTGTGTGTGAACTTACACCCTCTCACTCATCCAGCTCTCTGTACTTTTTTATGATCTCTGAACCATTCACAGCAGTGGCCGTGAAGTGACTGAATAGATTTGGCTTTACAAAAAGCTTCTCTATTGCGATAAAAATGGATATATTAAATACTTTAATAACTCAGAGGTGCAAGAACATGACTGAAAAATACAAATGGCATGAAGCATACAGTATACCTTTGGTTATAAAATGCATATAAACTGTTTGGTCACAAGTGTGAGATCCCTATGTAGGGGTGTTAGTAATTATTTTGTATGTTTAAGTTCAAAAGGTTACTTTTTTTATTTGTACTTATTTTCTAATTATTTTACAGACTCTGACATAGTGCTAGCTCAAGACCAAATTATTAAAAGATGGCAAAATTTAACATTGATTTTGAGAGGGGTTGGGATTGCAGGTAAATTACTATCAATATCAGTTTATCATAGAGCGAGCTCACTTTGTTAACATGCAGGTAAAACAAAACTTTACATAAAAAATTAAAAATAAAATCAGTTTGCATTGACTAACAGGGTAAGTATATAATCCATTAAAAATTGTAGCTTCAGAGAAGATTTTGGAAAAATCTGAAATTCTGACTCTTGTTGACTAATTTCAGTTAAAGTATCTATGTTAAAGATAGATAGATATCTAATGTTTTGTTTGTTTTTTGTTTTGTTCTCTTTTTTTACTTTTAAATGTACATTGTCAGTAAAACACATCTGTACAATATTTATACCTTAGAGCATTTTCAAAAATTTAAGTCTTTTGAAAAATGCACCCACGAAAAAAAAAAAGAATAAATTTCTGTTCCGCTGTGTGTATTTGAGTAAATTACACCACAAGAGGCACAAAAACCGATACAAATAATTGAAACATTCGAGTTACATTAAAGTAGAAAGTGGTTCAGTCTGTCTTGCTTGGACCTCCTTTCCTGCTTCTCGCTGGTGTTAACTGGAATGATGGTTGATGATGGTAAACATTTTACTTGTATAACAGGGTTAACTGGTACGAGGGTCTCATTTAAGTCTTTCTGCCTGTTAATGATTTTTGGTGATGCAACTGTTTTGCAGGAAACGTCAATGGACAGGGGAAATCATTGTAGCTTCCAAACTATTGTTTTTTTAAATCAGATCTTGTCTCGAATAATCGCTGATGTTTAATTCAGGAAATATCAACAGAATTTGATATTTCCAGTCTTCCTCTCTCCTCTTCATGAGCGTTTTATTGTTGCCAAGTTCATTAAAGGTCATGTCATATTTTCATATACAACTGAAACATTTTGTTGAAGCTGTACATAATGAAAGCAAACACCCTGAAATGAAGGGATTTGTCTGAAAACATCAAGTAAAAAGACAGATATGAGGAAAAATAAAACATTTTGTCTTTCAGAAAATCTGATCAGTTTCTGCGCGATATATGATGCATATGTACTTTGAAGTTTCTTTAGAGAAAGGGATCGTGTATTTAGGATTTAAACACTTTAACAACTTACAAAAACCGCTCTGTTAAGTCAATCCAATCAATGCAGTTTCAGTGAAAAATAAACACCGTGAAAGCAGCATGTTCCATCCTCTCTTCATATGCAGCTTGTAAAGCTCAAGAGTCACTCACTAATCACCCACTAATTAACACAAACACACAGATGCATTCTCGGTGTGAGCGAGTCCCTCCCCTGTCTTTTTGGATCAGAAAGCTCTTATCTGTCTCATTTTGGAAAAAGATAATGATGCTTGCTCTACAGCTCAAAGCTCATTAATGTATGACACAGCCCTGAATGTAGGATATCAAAGAGATGTACAGAGTGTGCCTCCCCACCCACTAATGGCTACAAACCCATTAAGAAGCTAAAGCAATGAATTAATCATCAGTTATCCTTAGAACAGATGAAAAGTGCACGCAACATCAGCCTTTGTGCAATCTGTCCCTTTAAATTCCACAAAATTAGAAAGCTTCTCACAAACCACCCTCACATTACAGGATCACCCTCAGATCAGATAAGCTGAAGGGCATGATATCGTCTGTCTGCAGTGATTTCTCTCTTTTCAAAGATGCAGCGTGAAAACAGAAGCATAAGAAGGAAAATTAGTAAGTCAGACTTGAGAAGAACAAAAATTTTCAGAAATAATATACATGATAAAGAATGACTGAAATGTCCTTTAGCAAAAAATACAGCATTTGAGATGCTCTTTCAAAAAACAGGGAAATTCTGCTAACATTAATTTATTTTTGCTTGTTTCATTGAGTAATTCACCTGATTCATTTTTTACCTGTTTACAACCATGTAGATCAAGAGGCAGAATCCGTTATGCTCAGCCGAAGAAAAAAAAAAACACACCAACTTTTGTGACACACCAAAAGTATTCTGCAATGTCATAAACATGAAGTAATATTCGTCCGAAGCACAGGCAGCATCATTAGAGACATGTAAATATAGACAGTATGGGCAGTATGGCATTAGGACTGTGGGCACATTATTACCTGATTTTAAAAAAAGGAGTGTAGCTATTTAAGTTGTGCCCTGAATGGGACTTCAGTCGGGTAGCCTCCACTCAAGCCCATGTTAAATTAGCACAGCATGCATGTTGAATGAGAGGAATCAATATTATACTAAATTTGAAAGAAAAAGTTCCTCAACATTATTTTTACGGTCTCATTGGTTCTCCTAAATAAGAACAACATGCAACATTTCCAGTTTATTTTTCTTCTTTTTATTTTTGGCCTTCCAGATCTGCATGTGCTTAAGTAATATCGTCTGGGTTCTCATTTCTGTTTTGTGATGTCCATCTTGTAGGTACAAAAGAAATAGCTTAGCTTGCATAAGACACAAGTAAAATTGCCATTCCATCAAAAGGTAACATATTTGTTTGTCTGAAAAACTCTGAAAATTTGTATGTTTCTAGGATTAATTTTAAACTTGGGCGAATTAAACTTATACATGTTGTTAAGCAATGTTGCATTGTTGCCTCTTAGTTTGTTTTTTTTTTTGCACCTTAAGAACTGTAATGTCCAAGTGAATAAAAAAAGTTGCTGCAGGGCTGAATTTATTATTATTATTTTTTTTGTTTTGCTAATCTGTATTTAGAAGGGGAACTTAGCATAAATGTTTTGAACTGATGTGAGTGTTCACTTGGCTGCCTCCTCAATATCTTTTGTTGTGGATCTCCACAGTGTGCTGTCAGTGTTTGAAAACTCTGAATTAATTAATGAGCTGCTTTGTTAGCCTTCTGAGGTTATAAGAGAGCTGGAATGGGTAAAGTGGCACTTTACTAACATTATTCCATCACGCTGTAAGGTCATGCCTGCAGTTGTTGGGGGTTGCAGAAAGACGAGACAGTTGACACTTTTCACTTTTCACTTTTCATAAATTCACTTGACAGTTTTAAAACATTTGAAATATATTAGCTAAAACAATATATGTGGCAACACATAAAAGCTTAAGGCACATTGTGATTATTTCCTGTTTGTTTAATCCAACTCATGTGTTTGACAGTAAAGTGAGCAATTTGCATGCTGCAAGTGCTCTCACTATTTATTGTTGAAGTAGGGTTGCTTGTTCCCACATTGCATTCCAACCTTTCCTCCTTCTCATCCACTTTTGGCTGTTTAAAGTGCTCACTGGAGAACTGCAGCAGGAGTATCATTCACTGTAATGGCAGAGCATCCTCCTCCACAGCCCTTACTTAGATCACTTAGTCCACTTTGCTAGTCCAGTGCTCAGTGTTGCATGAACACAGCACGTTTACAATAGGGGGTTACAACAATTAAAAAAGCAAAATGTATATTATAAAGAGAAGCAACTAAATTATTTGTATTTTTTGGAATATTATCAATTTCAGTAATATCAGAATCATAGCCTTATGTAAAAAAAAAAAAAGCATGGATACATAAAGAGAAAGGTGCAATCACTGTGGAAACTATCCCTTGTTCTAGGGTTTTGTAAAATAAAAAATGAAAAACAATTTGAATTTGACATCAAGTCCACAAAAGTCCTCATGAGAGTCTAGTGAGTCTTTAATTACTATGTCCTTGCTTGATCAATGGATTTAAGGAAAAATAGCAGCCAGGTGCTGATAATAAAATACGCTTGACTGTTTGGTCATCATCCAAATGACTAACTCTATAAGAGCAAGAGGTTTGCCAGTCTGGATCATACAGCTGTGTGCATTAACACAAGACAAAGAAGGAAGACATCAGCAATGACCTTAGAGAGGAAGTTCCTTTTGCCCATCAATCTGGAACAGTTTAAAAGGCCATTCCCAAACAATTTAAAGTCCCCCCAAATATTATTCACAAGTGGAAAACACTCAAGACAATTGCCAATCCTTCCACCTGAAGGTCAGGCTGTGAAGTGCTCAGAAAAAAAAAATTACAATCCAAAAGCTCCATCTCATACTCTACGGGCGTCAGGTTAACATGTTAAAGCTTTACATTATACACAAACTAAATAGCTGTGCGCTAAAGATACTTTTACAGCATGAGTTTGCAAAGGTTCACTGGACTCACAAAACCTCTGTAACAAAGTTTTTGTACAGATGAGACCAAAGTAGAAATGTTTAGCTATTATAAAACAATACCCAACCTCCAACACCTAATCCCATCTAAACTGTCCGGTTAGCAAGACCATCTCTTGTTAAGGAGATGGTTAAAATCAAAGAATTTTCTTTAAACAACATCTAAGTTCTTTCCAAAGATTCAGAGATTATTCAAACAAACTTCACTGCGACAAAATTGCAGTGAACTTGGTTTAAAAATGCATTCAAATTTCTGGATTCTGTTGTGTTTTCCATTCACCTTATGCTATTAAATGGCACTATAAAGTAATTGTGTTATCTTCAGTTGCAAAAAAAAAATACGGGGAAGTTGCATCCTGAAGGCACAGCTGAATGGCTGCCATTCCAAATTAAAGGAACATAGATTTTATATAATGCCACCCCTTCAAGGTAAAAAACTTGAAGCCAGAAACACGTGCCGCTTTAAAACATTGCAATGAAATTATTAAAGAGACCAAGACAAAATAATTAATCCACACAATAATTTAATAAAATCAATCACAGACTAGAAAAGAGAGTGAAGGCATTTTACACTGAAAGAATAAAAGCTCAACTGGTGACAGAATTCTTTTAAATAATTACATTTTTACAGTCAAGTTGTAACACCTTCATGAGCTCAGTCAAGTGTTCTGTACATTAATTTATGGTATATAATGAGTATTTGATGTTGTGTAGCTCATGTAGCATTGAAGCGAGAAAGGTAACATTCAGGTTTGGATTTTTACACTGAGCACAATAAAAACACATTTCAGGTTTTCTGGATGAAAGCAGAAGAGAATCCAGTTCAACAGATAATCAATAGGTTTGTAAAATATATATCTTTTTACATTTTGTCAAAACTGTCACCATGACATGACAGTATAAAACAAGACTGATAATCTGTAAAATAAATCAAGCTCCCAGTGCTAACTGCAGAAATACACCACTTGGTCAGAAACAACCAATCAGAAGAGGAGGAGGGTCTTAGCACTGTCAATCATTCTTGTGAGCATGCTGCCCACAACCTCCCTTTCCTCTCTGCTACACTACGACTTCTCCCCATCAGCAGAGTCTTCCATCAGACTACTTAGATTAAGTATGACATCGATGGCGGCAAATGAATGAGTTTTGCTGTAACTGTAAGTTGTTTATCTCCCATTGGCACATGTAGTTGCGCATACACAGTACAATTTGCAGCACTAAGACTTTCCCCCTGGCTCTGATTGATTGTTTCTGATCAGGAGCTGTGCATACATGTGGCAATACTTATACTGGGAGAAGGCAGAGGAGCTTGATTTCATCACAGATTATTTCTCATTCCATACTGTCACGACATAGTGTTAGCTTTAGCAAATATGTAAAAAGACATATTTTTTCTGAATAAAAGTTACATACTGCTGCTTCAAAAGATTACATACAGTGGGTTTGGAGAAAAAAAAGAGATGCATGGATGAAATAGTAGTTTTGGGCCATATTTATCAGTTTTATATTTTACCTCAGACACTTATGTAGATACTGACATAATCTCCAATATTTTGATGATTTAATCTGCTGTTAGTCTACATGATTTTTCACCAAGTAGATTTGATACCATACAATAAATGTAAGACTTGTATGCTGCCACTTAAATCTATGATGAACATTTGAAATGCTTTAGAAATACTCAAATTTGACAAGATTAATCAGAATTGGATTGATAATGATGTTTGCAGCATACAAATTTTACCTCTATGTATCTTCTGACTTTGTGGCTACCATAGTTATTTAAATTAATAATTATAATAATGACATTTGTAAAACAAAGTTACATCTATGCTCCGAGTACTATTGAACAAGCAGGAGAGTGAAAAGGAAATCCAAGAAGCATAGAAGCATAAAGGCACTGTGTTTTTTCTGTCTTTTTTTTTTTTTTTTTTTTTACAAGAAGCTAACAGAACTAAATCAAAGTTAATCCTGTCCGATCACGACTACTTTTGTTCTTTTTTTTATAGGTAGAAAAAGAAAAAAAAGTCCACAACCAGAAAACCAAGCTCAGAAATGAGAAAGCTGACCTTCAAAACACCAATATATCAGTTTTACAAAAAAAAACCTATCAGAGGAGAGTGAAAGAGCATTCATTGGAGTCCAAACTAGGAGACAGAACCAAGTGCAACGGTCAGTCAGGAGTGAGGACACCGATGGCTGTCTCTGCAGTTTTTCTCATAAATCGCCCACAAGATCGAAACATAGACACAAAACACACACATGTGTGTATGAACTCCCAGCCTCAAGCTGAAATACAAGAAAAGGCGGGAAAAGTAAGCAGGAATACTGGTAGAAAATACTGAGGGTAATAACCTGCATCTTAAACAATAAAAAACAGAAAATAATAAGCCTCATCTGTTCAAATACAAAAAGAAATCTTTCAGCACATTTGAAAATTGTTTTTTTTTTTTTACATGTTTGTTTAATGAGTGCAGATAATAAAGTTTAAATACATCACACACCTCTGTACAGTAGACATCTTGTTGTTTTTGGATTGGGCAAACTAGTCTTTACAATATAAGTCCTTAGGCTAAGATGATTTCTTTTTTCCTCTTCATTAGTGTGTTTATTTAGCGTGTCCTCTCAAACTACTTCTTAAAGGTCAGCTCCCTTTTGTTCAACATGTTGCCTCTCCTTGTCAGTCCTTGAAGGAGCACAGAGATTTTAAAGAAGCTTTCTGAGATGGCTTCAACAACAAGCACCCCTCAACATGCAACTGTGATGAAATAACTGTTGTTGTTGTTTCTGGCATGTGGAAGGCTTTTCTGAGAAATATTTAAGAAAACATGTAAAAGTTTAAAAGTGAAAAGTGAAGGGAAACAAAATACATCAACATAATAAATATGAACATATTGCCTTTGAAGCCCATGTTATTAAAATAATTTTGTCTTTAAAAAAAGCCCCTTACGTACAGACACATTGCCGGCACCAATAGTAAAAATGTGAAAACTCCCTTGAAAGGAACTAAACTTTTATTGCGGTAACATAATTTTACAATTACAATTACTTTATAGTACCTTTAATCTGGGTATTTGTTGCCAACAAACCCCTACTGTCAGTATTTTGTACAATCTCCTTTAGGCAACAGGACAATCTCTCCAGATAAGAGTTCTTGGCCCCTTTTCCTACTCTCTCCTCTTCAATTTACTCCACAGGTTTTCTATAAGATTTAGGTCACAGATGTAGGCTGAATTTAGCTGAGTGAGTGAACAATTACAATATTTTAGATTAATATTAACCTGAATGACCTAGTCATCACACACTTATTTTACCATGGTTGGATTTCAATTTATTTGAAAGAGAAATACCTCCTCAGTTTCACAGTTCCTTCATTATACTTTAAATTAGGCACAAATGAACTATGAGGGAACCTGGTGCCACTAGTGGTTTTAAAAATAATTTTCAAACAATTATTTTTTTAAAATACATTTTCCTCATTGACTAAATTTAATGAGGAATTTTCTGTGTTTTATTTTTTTAATGCATTCAAGAAAAGATTTAATCATTTAAAGGCTTTTTACACATCTTTACTGGAACAGCCCAAAAAATGGTCAGTGTCTGCAATTGCTTAAAAACTAATTTGCTTGTGCGTAATTACGACCTCTCTCTGTCATGAACCCTTTAAAGGCATAATGTCAACTCTGAGACGTAATCAGGCAGAGAAACTATGCAGAAATGACAATAAAAACTTGTTATAAAAGATGTGTCATTCAGATCACCTAAGTTTAAAGCTAGATATGTATAAATGCTGTAAACAATCAAATATAAGAGATACTTGTGTTAAATGTCATATGAAGGAATGCTATCTGGCCAATTCAGACTTAGTGTACATGGACATTCTTCTATACTTGCACCAGCAAAACAGTACTTGAAAATAAAAGGAAGATAAAAAAATCTGTGTGCTTTGTGCATTTTGATTCTCAACCAAACAGAATCAGGAGGTCAAAGTGTCATGGTCCCAGGATGTTTTTGTGTTTGTCTGGATAAAATGTTTATACTGATGACGGGGACTTTACGCCCAGATGCACGCATGACCTTTAAGTCCAGCTTTCCTAATAGATGACCTCGTAGACTGTCGCTTTTTTGTCTCCTGAGCCTGTCACAATGTATTTATCATCTATGGAGATGTCACAGCTCAGCACAGAGGATGACTCCTTTGACTGGGAAGGGAATATAAGACAAGATGTGGTTATATGTATATAAAAAAGCTTTAACTCCATGTTGTACAGCATATATAACTCTGTAAACAGAAAGTTCCTAGATGCAGGGGATGCTCTGCCCCTCTCACCTGGAAAATGCTGGCTCCATATGGAGTTCTCCATGCATTGAGTAGATTGTCCTTTCCTGTGCTCACAAACCACTTCCCTGCAAGGAATGAAACAGAACACAGTGAAAACTTATACATAAAACAGAAAAAAAAATCAACATTTCAAATGTTTGTGAAATGTTCTGCTTGTGAAATGTTCTGTTTGTGTGAAATGTTCTGTTTGTGAACATTGACATTTGAGTAATAATTTTATTCTCTATGCACTTCCCACTTTCTTGTATTTTCACTTGGAGAACTTCCCCAGTCAAATATTTTGTAATATAGAGTTATGTATATTACAAAATATGCATATTTTAGTATATTGCTTTGTACATGCTTGTGATTTATTTTTATTCTTTTAGCTATGCAAGACCCCTTTGGTGAACAAATAAATGTTTAAGCCTAACCATTTGAAAACAATGAGAATAATGGTTAGCAGTCCAGAATTTGAACACCTGTGAACATCTTTTCATATCTAAATCAAGAAATAAACAAGGAAGCTTCATTTGATGACAGTGTCATTGATGTCCCCTGACCATGTTGAACTCTTACCACAGTGAGCAAATCTTAGCGAGAGCACGCAGCTTTCATGTAGATGGAGTTGGTACTTGTCAGGTTTGGTGACGTGCAGGACCTCTACGTTGCTGTTTTCCATCCCCACAGCCAGCCACTCACCAGTCGGACAGTAACCCAGAGAAAAGATCTGCAAAAAAAAAAAAAAAAAAAACAGTTCTCTTTTAAATATCTTGTTATACTAGATGATTTTTTCTAAAGGTTTTATTGGCTCTAGTGGCCTTCATTTGAAAATAGTTCGACAGGAAAGAGGGTAATGAGAGAGGGGGAAGAGATGCGGCAAATGCCCAAGGCCAGGAATTGAACCTGCGACTACCACCACGAGGACTAAGGGCTCAATACGTGGGTTGTCCTTCACCCCTGCACCACCACAGCACACCAGATGATATTATACTGGATGATGAATTTCATCATATGTAGTGTTTGAAACATTCATCATTGTAACGTCAAAAATGTGCTCATGAATATGTTGAATAAATGTAAAAACCTGTAAAAGACTCATGTTTTAGCTGAGAAATAGTGGGTGATAAATTTATTGAGACCGTAGAACTTTATCAGCCATATTGCTCCCCATCTTGTGTTCCCTGTCTCTCAAATCTATTTAATGCACACTCACACCCTCATGTACAAACTGAGGTAGCGAAATGGGTCCTATTTAAGAAAATTGCAATAATGATCTGTTATCACTGCATTTCTTCTTACCTGAAAAAAAAGTGAATTCAAACTGCAAGTATTATCGGCGTTAAAAGTATTTGAGGGCATGACAAAAATAGTCTGGCCTTTAGTGTGGGTTAAATGCTCTGAAGTGAGCTGGTAAATTACTGCAATAAATCGAAAGCAGAGACGGTAATCACACACTCTACAATTGGCAGGGACTCGTCAAGTGATGTACATTTTTTACCAATTTGTAACATTTTTACTTTACAAGTAACACTAACTACTAGTATAACAAGTTTGATAATAGCCAATCCTTCAAACCTTCCTTCACCCAGTGCAACAACTGACATCATAAATGTGGTAGATGGACTGAGTTATAAAGAATTACATGGAAATATAAGCATAAAAGAGGTTCATTGAAATATTTAACAATATACGTATTGCTTTGGTGTTTCTTGCAAACCTGGGAAGTAAAGTCGTGTTGTTGCAGCTGCCGTCCCTCTCTCAGATCCCAGGACCGAACGGTGTTATCCAGACCTCCAGTCCAAAGTTTAGTTCCGTCATTAGAGATGTCTATACAACTGGCTCCATCTGTATGACCCTGAAACTGCCTGCAGAGAATCATGCACAAATACACCCATGTTATTTAACAATAATTAGCAGAAAAAACTAAAACGTAGTTCATGAACATCCAAAAATAGCAGCAGGTGTGTGATTTCTGGGACATAACTATGGCCAGTTGGGTTGAATTAGAACACATGTACCCTTCTTGTCCTACATCAATGTCTGACCTCACAAATGCACTTCAGGAAGAATGTGGAAAAACTCCAGTAAACACAATCTTAAACCATCAGATGAAGATGTAAATGCTACAAATGGCGAGCTGGCATAATATTAGCAATGCAGAATGGATGTCACTCAAGTGTGACAGAGTTTTAGGGCCATATAAAGAAAAAATAAAAAACATGAAATTGTGAGAATAATGTCATAAAATTATCAAAATATTTTATTTTCATACGACTATTTTCATGATGACTTAATTTTTTTTGCAATTTTATTACTTCATTCTTGTAAATTTAAAAAAACATATTTCATTTGCATGGCCCTAACACTCTGTCATACTCAAGTTTATGTGTTCAGTCAAGGAAATACAATTTCTGAAAACTACATTACCAATCTGTGGCCACCTACCGAACCAAAGTCTGGTTGTGAAGATCCCAGACAGCTATGTTTCCATCAGAGCAGCAGGAAAAGCAGACCTTGGAGTCAGGGCTGATGGCCAAAGCATAACACGCTGGTGCGGATGAAGTCAGCTCTGCTTTGATGCGAGGAGTTGGTGTAGCCAAATCCCATATTGACAAAGTGCTCGCCTCGCCCCCCACAATTAGCGTCCGTCCATCCGGAAGCAGGCGACACGAGCGAATGTAGTTATCCCTGTTCTGAAGCAACAAAAAAACACTATTACATCCATTTACTGACACAGTCTGGAATATAAGGATCAAGGCACAGGTCTTACAAGGCAGTCCAGCTGGGAAACAGGGGTCTTGTTACCCGGATGACTGATATCCCACACCTTCACACAGCCTTTGCCCCCGGTATAGACATGACGAGTCGGGTTACTGATTGTGACAGCACACACCACCTCTCCATGGCTGAGAGTATTGATCTGTCGTGCATGGCGTGGGATGCCAGGGCCGATCAAAGCATCTGGAGGAAAAGGCACCGGCTGCATTTGTCCATCAGCGCTCACATGAAAGGAATAAGCTCTGGAGGGGACAAAGAGTGCCAAGAAATAAGAAAGAGAGTGAAATGAAAGGATAACGACAAAATCATGTGTCTTTCTTTGTGTGTCTCTGACATTAACAACTGAGGTGAGGGAACCTACGGTTTTCCACCAGGAATTCCTGACAGGTTGGGAGGAAGCCCTGGGACACGGATGTGATGGTGAGGATCAAATCCCACCTAAACAAATTAAGAGAATGACAGCTCAACTACACACTGCTGTGAAATGCTTTTGTTACACAAGTCATCTCTAATTAACGCAGAGCTGCTTGAGAAATGTAATAATGGAGCTTAAGAGAAAACAATGCAAAAAATTTTCAGGTTAGAAGCAACAATTCTTTAAAAATATGTCAAAGCTGAGAACTGAAGACAACTTTTTGAAGAGTTAGATAAGGTTGCAAATTTTATTTTAACAGTTTATTACAGTTTACTTACTTTACGCTAAGGTGACGTAAACAGACAATAGGGACATTGTCATAATAACATTACACTTAATGCCCAATTTGAAACATTATAAAAAAAGTGCTTGAAATTATTCTGTCAAGTCTAAGGAAAACTTAATATTAGGAGAATTTCTGTAGAATGCTTCCTACCACTCTCTTTCTTTGATTTCTTTATTTTTTAAGGATATTTTTTCTTTTCTTTCAGATAGAAGATTTTAGCTCTCTTTAAAGGTTAAAACAATTTTTTTTCTGTTTGTGTTGTTAGTAAGACTGACTGCTTTCTTGTGGTCAGTGACCTTCACTCTACAGTCAACAGCACACTACAGGATTTTAAGTCAAATTTTTACATCAAAGACAAACAGAAAACTGTGAAAAGCTTGCTAGCACTCAGGGAAACATTTTAAAAATGATTGTTTTATTTTCTGTTTACTCAATATTTTAATCACACAGCTAAAATTGATTCAAATGATTTCTCCATTATTTTACATGTTTCTGTTTTTAACATGATCACAGCTCCAAATTCAGGATGTGTGTTTCTGTGAAGGTTCTGGTACCACTTGCGTGCGTCCGTATGCTGCTACGGCGGCAGCGGCCACTGCGCTCATCTGTGGGGAGATGTTGTGGAGGCCGGAGTAGGCGGCGCTCGCTCCACTCAGCTCTCCGTTCATGCCAGGGTGAGGAACCATCCCGAACGGTCCGGGGTACGAGCAGGGTACTGCGAGCGGCGTCCGGAGACCGGAAGCTGGAAGACAACAAAGCCAGGAGTCACAATGGTTCCTGACACAGTGTGAGGACAAGTTTAGTAAGACACAAATTCCTTAGGAGACTTAGACTTACTTTATTGTCATTGCACAAACACAACAGTGAATTTGGAAACAAAATGTTGTTTCTTGGCTACCAGAATACACAGACAAAGTGTGACTATATATCCATACACACACACACATATACATACAAGTGTTACAGGTGCAGGTACAGGTAAAAAAAGAAAAGAAAACTAGAATAAATATACAAAAAATAATACATAGCTAAATATACACAAGTATACACACACACAGATTCCATATATATATAAATATATATATATGGATATAAATGTTATTGATAAAGAATTATGTCATCACTGCATGTTGTTCATATCTAAGATCATTTAAACTTCTTGCTCAAAATTTTGCTTTGTAAATAAATATACTAGAAACATTACAATGTTCAAACTGTATGTACTCAAATCTGAGAAAGGCTTATTGGTATAAAAAGTTCTTTATGATTCCTTTTGACTTCCATGCGTCTCGTTGCTGTAAAGATGCTTTATGATCAGCTACGATCAGGACTGACCCAGCAGCTCCGCTCCTGTGGGTTTACTCGGTGCAGGCCTCAGGCCAGGGGTGGAGGTGCTGCTGGGTGTGGGAGCCTCAGAACGGGATGTTGGGGTGCTGGACTTGGACACGGGGGTTGTGGATTTTTCATTCTAAACCAAGTATATCATAGAAAGAAGAGAAAATTACTAGAGAAAATGTAAATTTACATCTAGAAAGGATGCAAAAAAATGTCTTCATACTTTACGTACAATGATTCGTTTGAATGTTTACGCTGATATAAATATATTAATAAAGAATTTAATTAGATGACAAGGCGATAATTCCCCAAATGACTCACCAAATTAATCTCTTTGGACTTGGATGAAGGTGTGCTGCTAGAGGAGGCGATAGAAGAAGGACTCAGGGGGGCGTCTTTCTTTAGCAGGCAACTTTTGTCCAATCCGTTCTCCCGAGGAGAGTGGGCGGGACTTCCTCTAGGAGACGTAGGATCCTGAAGTGGGTGAGCCCAGATGTTTTCAAAGAAACAAAGTTACACGTTTGACAAATGAATAAAAAATATTGCATCTTAAGAATGAAAAGCTTCCTGGTACCTCATTGGAGACATCTACTACCAAGTTGTCGTCACTCTTTTCTCCATCACTTTCCTGGGATTCACACAGAAATGTAGCTTACATTTTTTTTAAATGTAATGAAATAAAATACATAAATAAAACTATATTGTTTTACTGTACAGAGTAAAATGGTCTCACAATATTTTCCAATCAGTCAGCTCCAACTTTTTGTCTTTGGCAATATAAGAAAACATGAAGGACAAATTGAAAGCTAGTGGCTTGACACATTAATCTGCTTTCCATCTCCCAAGCTTTTCTCTATTTCCTTCCTCAGCTGTTCAAAACAAAAGTGCAGTAAAAACAGATTCAAGAACTGAGATAAATTTTCCAATTTTTTCTTGCAGTGATAAAATATTCTCCTCCACTCCTTCTCCTCCACTGCCCAGAGAAGGAGGGTTTAAGCTCATCACTCACATAGCGGCTGGAGGTCAGTTCCTTGTCATCTGCCTTCTGCTTCTTGCTCTCGGATGAAAAATCGCTGGAACTCCGATGTTTCTCTCCAGCCCGGAAACTGGCTGATGGAGACACGGATGAACTCTGAAGCAGAAAGCAAACATGTTAAAAATAATTTGAGCAACAATTTCTGTTGTCACTGATAAACCAGATGTTCTTCTTGATGGATTTTAAATCAAATTTTAAAAGCTTAAAGCCAAATAGATTGCAGCATAACATTAACTGAAAATATTTTATGTACTTATGTACAGCAAACACTTAGTTTTAGACTAAGAGAATTTATACATGCACCAGAATTAAATTAAATTATTTTATATTGTGAATGAAACAATTTAAAAATGTAACTTTTACTGAGACAGATAAGACAGCGAAAAACAGATAAGTGTAAATTATACTATTGGACAAATTATCGATAATTACTTTTCCAAATCAGATCTGTTGTCAACAAAATCAGCTTTTAACAGCTCTGAAACACAAACATGAAAACATGTCATAAGACTCCTGTTAAAACGCCTTAAAACAAATCCATCCATGTACATTTAATCTAAGTCTATTTAAACTATTGAGCAAAAAAAATGTATTTATTGGAGCATCTAGCAACTCTTAATTTGCAATCAATTTTATTCTGCCACTGCACACAGTATTGAGAACGATCAGGAAGACAAAAATGAAAAATTTCCAAAACTCATGTTTGGGGAACAGCCACAAATTGCACTAGATTATACCACTGCAATAAAATAAATGAATTGACTATGGCTTCACGACTGATTAAGGTGAATTAATTAATGTATTGGGTTTTTATTTTAAGAGGTGTTGATAACTTATCTCCTTTGCAATTCTTTGCAAATGTAGACCAAACTAAAGTTCCAGTCAAGGCACACTTTTTTTTATGTTCAACTAAAGCAGTTTCTAGACTTAAAGAAAAAGATATTTAATGTACTGTGAAATTAAAAGTGGGTCTCTCTCACATGGTTAATATCCTTCCCACAACATTCCATACAAATCGACATGTGGGCGAATTGGGGCTTTTCTGCCTAAATCATTTAAAGATCAACTCTACTATCTGTTAAATACTCCAATTTCAACACAACAGTGAAGCATCCTTAAAAGAATGATTGTGCCACTGACTGTGCTTATTCCTAATCGACCTTTGCATCTTTTAAACATCAATAAATGTTCTTTGAGGAAAAGACATCAAACTAAGAGATTGCTCCTCTTCCTCTGAATATCTTTCTTTGCCCCATCTCTCCCACATTGGGAGGCGCTGCTCACCCAGAACACACTGGACAGAAAGAAAAAAATAAAATAAAACAAGACCTTTAGCTCGACCTTTCCACTAACTCACGCCTGTAACCTTTTCACTGCCCTTTGCCGTGCTGCAAGTGTTGATGACAACGATTCTGAGCAGGGGGAAGGGTGAAGCTGTGTGTGTGGAGCACTTGTTCCTGTTTACATTTTAGTCCTCTGGATGTGCAAATAATCTGCAGATCTGTGTGTGTATGGGCGTGTGTCTCTTTATGAGTGATAGAGGAGCAAGTTGAGCCATCCCTCTCTGTCGCCTTCTTTTCAGGCTGATTAGATTAATTAGCCTGCAAATTAGCTCTTTTCAAAAACATCAAAGCAAATTAATTTTGCTGTGGAGACAAATGAAGGCCCTGCCGGCTGAGTGAGCATTGTAACTGTGACAAAGTCTTCAATGTGGGTGAGTGAAAGTATTAATTTTCACTGACATCATAATTACATTTACTTCCCGTATCCAATTGATTCTGCGACTCTTGATAATGGGATCTGTAGCCGAGCCGCTTGTTTCCTTTTTCATTCACTTTAGGAATCCACTGTCTGGGTGTTGCATCAGTGTCAATCTTGATTAATTCATCCTAACTTCAAACTATGCCTGACATGATTCATCATCACAATCAATGATGTTGACTAAAATGATCTATAAAAATAAATATTTTTAGTCAACATAGGTTTTGTGATTTAATCTGTTCTCTTTTTTAAAACTTAACACAAATTAAAAATTAATGTAAAGTTTATTACATTAAATAAATGTGATAAACTAGGAGACCCTGACATCCATACATCTAATAGATGCATGAGGATCTACAGTATTCCAGCTGATCATATTCCTTTATATCTACAGAGTATCCATCTCCATTAGGAGATGGCTGTTTGGATTTAGACATGTCATGACATTTGTGTCATGATGTCCAACGACGCAAATGTTTCACACTTTCTCTAACTGGTTTCTTGCACATCACAAAATGTATTGTAGTGTGATGGCCTAAAAAACACCGTATCTCAATCCATTAAAGCACCTTTGAGAGTTGGCGGTACAAAAGATTAATGCAATTATGGAGTGAGATTTCTAATAGGCACCTCAATTAATCTGTTTGAGGAATAAATAAGGTGGATTTAAAGGCAAAGTGTACCTTAAAAACTGTCTGGTAAATGTGTATAAAAAGCAGAACAAGTGAGTTTGTTCCCAAACCCAACAAAAAACCTGGAGGAATATGTTTGATCATGACTACTGTATAAATCATCACTGTTATCAATATTATTGGAGTTTTGTGAAGATCCTTTGGAAATATGGATAACGTTTCCTGGATGTGGTTCATGCATAACCTTCATTATTATGTTGGAAATTTTGATTAGTAGTAATAGACTCTCGACTGCAATACAACTAGCCCAATATATCTGATCAGATAGTTAAATAGTTCAACAAAAAAAAACAGACAGCAAACCTGCCAGCTGTTTAAAGAATTTGCATTAGCTGCATGTACAGTGACTGTAGGCACCAGGGGAAGCTGATGTCTGTTAATATATGCATGCCTTAGTCACATATATTTTTATTGTATTTTATTTTTAAAACTGCAAAAATAACCCAAAAAATGTTTTACCATGGCAACCACTAAAGTTGGTAATAATGTCATCCCTAAATGTGACTTTGTTACTTGGTGACAGATGGACACTAAGTAAAGCAACTATGTTCTTCAAAGGCTACACAGAGCAAGCAGTCATACATTATGCACAAATTAGTCCTCTGTTTCATTTTTGTCTCCACATTTTTCCACACACTTTGATAAGACATTCCGTTAGATATGGAGTAGAGGTGTCTCTGGGTCTCACCACAGTCACTAACCCTGCAAGCATGCATCACAGATGTGCAAGCATGCCTCACCTAGAACTGTCCCTTGAATCAACGCCCCACATTTGCCCCTAAAGCTGAGCAGGGACCATGCACAGCCACGGATTGTATCTGTTGCTCCGGCAATGAGGGGATGCTGGTTTTTATCTCGAAACAGTAGGATGCTAATGTAGATTTAATACACCACACAATGATCTTTGATGGAGGAGAGCTACACAATGTGTAAAAATGTGACACAGAGGGGTTGCTGCCCAAGCTGAAATGTTGAAGCTGTGACCAGTGGTCCAATTATATTTATTTTTTCTTTGATTAACAGCTCAGATGGTCACTCACCCAATTAGGCAGCAAAATTTATATACTTTTTTGTTTCTCACCTTTATTCTGCACAAAGTTCTGCACAAACCCAGAGGCTTTCGAAGTCTGGGTGGTAGTTATTTGATTTAATCCATCTCTCTTGGCCTGTTCATTTGTTTCTTTCTCTGCAGCCAGCCCAGCATGGAAGGCGAGGCAACACGCTGCAGTCAGAGTTTTATAAAAGAGCATCCCAGCACTGACAAAGAGAAATGGACTGTGGCTGTAAAGTTTTTTTTGCAAGCAAAAATAAAATGAGACAGAAAATAACAAAAACTCAAAAGTAAGTTGCATATTGCAGTTTCCACACAAGCAAAAAGCTGTAATGTCCTTCTGTAGAGACACACAGAGAAATCAGCTGGTGACAAGAATTAGATGATTTTCAGTTTGATTGGGCCAAACAGGCGATGGGTGTGATACTTTTCCAATCAGTAAATCAACTTTATCTAATCACTGCCTGATGAAACTGACAACATCACTCTGGGGTGTGGATAATGTTACTTTCAGAAAATCGCATTTTTGAACCTTTTTTTAGTATCATTGAGGCGCTTGAACATAAATTGAAATTTGAGGTTGATTCAGACTGAAATATAATATACTTAAAAAAATCAAGATAGCAAGGGTGCTCTAACTATAATACGTTATGTTGATAACTCGTATGAAGAAACTTTGAGGAACTGGTGACCAATCCATCCACCAAAATGACCAATGAAAACAGGCAGCAGCACCCCTTGACACTGTATGGATAGTTGGGTTTAGAAAATACATGGATGGCTTTTAATATCTTTTAATTTTTGACATTTTGACAATGTTAGCCAAGTACAAACAAGAAACACAGCTGTGATCATCTTTCTCACTGTGTGAGAACGATGATTTTTTTTTTGTAGTACATAATCTTCACCTTTAGTTTGTAGATTAAATGAAAGCTTCTCATCAATAATTAATCTCAGATTAATAACCAGTGATCCTCGTAATAAATTTACCTCCTGCACTTCATTAAAAGGAGCCTGTAGAAATGTAGATCCCTATGCCCTATAAGAACAGTAAATCACATAATCTGCATAAAACTGATAGGAAGTATTTGAGAAATTGCGATTAACATGAACCCAATGACTGATCCTTGATGTACACCTTTTTAACCTTAACAAAAGAGGAATTTGCCCCTGCCATTTGAACACATTGTATCCAATTCGTCAAATAATCTGCAAACCAGACGCTTCATTAGAGATGCTTATCTTGAGAAGAATACTTAACAAAATACTTTGGACCACAGTGTCAAATCATTTTCAAGTTTAGAAACTTTGTGATGAGGCAGCCAGTTTTAGAAATAAAAATCTAAACTATCACAAACACATAATTTTTTTATTTTTGGAGTCCAACGTTTTGGAATTGGCTAATTAATGAAAAGACATACTTACCAACAATTTTCCAAAACATGTTAGAATGCACTGGTCATCTTTAGTTTTCATCAATAAAGATTTTGTGATCTGAATGGGAATATTGCAAATACCTCATAATCAACTCAATGATGTCAAATAATCAAACCAATTACTACCAGTAGCAACAAAAGCTCTCAGAAGGCTCTGTCCTTGAACACACCATGACTGTTTAATCGACTGCCTGTACGGGTTACAATAGGTCTGCAGATGCACGTGCTGGAGCTGGTTTCATACCCACACACCTTTATCGGCGTGTGAGGACCTAATTCCAAGGACATCAAGGCACAGATGTTCATGCAATTCACACAAACTGTACTCTGTGGACTGTAGCCAAGGCAACAGCAGATCACTGACAAACGGCTTATTGGTTTCATGGAGTGACTGTTGGCCACTGTGTCAAAGAGCATCTCTGTGTGTTTATGTGTGTGAGGGAGATTTCTCACTGAGCGCTAATGAAAGGAATTTATCATTCTGGCCGCTCCGTCTTTATCTCTGATTTCTGATGACCTCAGAAACACAGACACACACATGTTCACGCACATATGTGCGTGTTCACATACGCCTACTAATTACAGCAGTCATGATGCATGTGTGTGCATGTGAGGTTGAGGATCTGCTGCAGGGTGGGCAGGAGATAACATATTAAAACATTAAAGAAAATTCCTTCAAATCGAAAAATGCACACACACACACACACACACGCAATTTCTCTAAACTGTGTGTTCAAGCATGTGAGCTCAGCTTGCTCACATAAAGACATTCTAATCTGCTCATTGAGTATTCAAGAAACCAAATGTTTTCCTTAGGGGGTGCGGGGTCTGTGCCGCTTAAGGGACTAATTTACCACACTCACTGGATGTAACCACGATCTGTTCCCGAACTCCTTTGTTTTTATCTTCTGCTCGGCCTCTGTCATAACTTACTGAATATTTTTGTTATACATTCTGAAATATATACATTTTGAGAAATTATTCAGTGGGTAAAAAGAAGCTTAAAACTGCATTCAGATCTAGAAATGTGTAACAATTACTGGATAAAGGTAACCATTTTGTAATTGCAGAAAAATTTGCTTCTCATACTAATTTAGTCTGATTCAAAGTCAAAGTGAGTCAGAAAGGATTATGCGCTCAAATGTAGCCTGGACTTCCTTCAGACATACTGGTTGATCATCGCAAATGAAGATATAGTAAATCTTTGAGCTAAGGATGGTTCTTGTTATGAGGATAGTAAAGACTGAAAGGACTTACCTTAACTGAATCTCTGTCTGAGGAGGCGAAAGGCAAGGGAGAGAGAGACAAAGAGAGAAATATACTTAAAATATTCAAAGACTAAAGCAAGAATGACATAGACCCATATTAAAGAACCAGATCTACTACGGTATCATCTTGTACTAATTAATTAGAAGCATTGCAAGAGTCAACTATTAAAAATTCACTGTCATAAAGATCTACTGCAATAAGAAGTATAACGTAAAGCTAACCCTACAAAGGAAAAACTGTTTAAAAATTTGAATTTTGCCATTCGAGTTATGTATGTGTAAAGAAAAAAAAAGTTTGAAACAAACAAAACCAAAAATAAGAACACAACAGTTAATAATTGTCACTTTATGCACAATTTATCTTTACAAGAAATATCAGAATAGTGATATCAAATGTTAGAAAAAAGCAATTTGTCCAATAAGTTCTGACAGGAGATTGAACGTATGGGACAATACAAGGTCTCCCTTTAATAGCAGATATAGACAGTGAAGAGTGTCTAAAACATCATCAAGGTTTGTAAAGGAAGGAGAGCCACAAAGTGATCATTAAACTTGAATTTACTAACTATACAACAAAGTGAATGCACATATCAATTTTCTGAGGTTCAGATTGTGTTTTTATTGATTCTTCTGCTAATGCATGTGAGTGCTTGCTTCTTCAGCTCATGTTAGCTGTTCTGCAGTTAAAGGGCAGGGTCAACTGCTTGAATGCACAGTAAAAGAAAAACCCTCACAACCTCGTTACAACAAAATAATTAATTGGTGGCATCATGCACAGTTCCCATCTTATGCACACAAGCATATCTACTCTGTGAACTGTAATTAAATACTCAAGCTGGAAATCAGATCAGAGAAGAATCAAAGTTAATCCCGATGTAGAAGACAAAAAGGGCAACATTGTGGTTTTTGTCACAATTAAAATGACTTACTGTTGATATCTGTGTTTAAACAGTTTTACCTGCTGGTCATTAGGTGAACTAAATATGAAGAAATAACAGACACTTGGAGCATGTGCCGATATAATTCTAAGACATGTAAAAAAGTGTTAGGATTTTTTTTTTTAAAAATCCTATTGTGTTTCAAAGTCTCTCAGCTTTCATATATTTTCCAAGCATTAAAAAAGACAGAAAATATAATGTTAATCTAAACTGACAAACCACAAAAAAGAAATGTCTGATTTAATGTGAGGTCATGTGAAAGAAATGATCAGCCACTACATATGACAGAATAAGTGGATATCATAAGGCTAATTAAAACTGATGTTCTCTGAAAGTTACTCATCATTAGACCCACAAAGAGGCAGACTTACCTCTCGTGTGCTCACTGTTGTTCTCGTGGTGTTTCCTCTCATCCTTAAGTGGCAGCTGGTGACTCAAAGCTGATGACAGAGCCAGCAGGCTGGCAGTACTGGCACCGGGGGGCAGAGGGGGCTGCAGGCCTGCTGGATGGGGGGTGAGCGGGACTGGAATGGCATGGCCATGGGAGAGGTGCTGAGCCTGGAGCTGCTGCTGCTGATCCACATACGGACACATGGATTACAGTTTGTATGTGGGAATGAAAAAAAGCACAAAAGTGTCAGCATCTGAAGCATTTTTATCAGCTTGACCTGTGGTGCATAGAAGGAAAGCTTGATTCCCTCAAAATGTGGAATAGATTTTAATTAAAATATTTTTACAGATCATTTTGACCAATAAATACCTTCAAATGCCATATTGAGAAGATTTCAGAGCAAATCATCAAGTATCACACAAAAAAAAATCTGATTAAAGTGTATTGTTTCGAGTTAGATTTTTAAAAAATTTTACAGTTGAAGTCAACCCTGAGTTCTGTTATCCTTGCTGACATTCTCAACAAAATTGAAACACCATCTGAATCTTACTTATTGATTTTGTCTGCATGTGTGTGTGTGTGTTAAACTCACTCCTATGATGGCGTTGAGTTCAGCCATAGTGACCTGTTTGGCTCTTTCCACAGCCTGCACCACTTGCTGCTGATGCTGATGGACAGACAGGAAAAATCAGCAACAGATCCAGTAATAATTTCACTCACAGAGAGAAATATTTTCTTTAAAAAGGTAATTAGATTTTTAAAAAGATTTCATTGAGACTAATTATACTACTCTACATGAGAACATAATTTACAAACTAAGCATCCAGCTGGTTCAAAAGAATCCGTTTAATCCCAATTTTTTTCCTGCAAAATAAGAGCAAGCATTTCAATTCTTGGACCTCACTGACACATGATATTTATGAATTATTACATTTTATGTTGGTTATGTTAGTGAAAAAGTAGGTTTGATACTCGGCAACAATTGTTGTCAGTGGGAAACTGCAGAGTCGAAATTACACAATATGGCCTATTTACAAATAGAAAAAAAATAAGAAAAATTATGACATGCATAACCTATTATAACAAGAGTGTTCAGAAATACTTTAGATATATAAAAATTCAATGTCACAGTCAGCAGATGTCATTGTCTCAATGTGCTGAGCGACCTTTGACCTAATTTGGTCATAATCAGTGAGGCAAGGTCAGTTGAAAATGTTACATTCACTCTTCTTATGACCAAAGTATGGATGAAGAAATACAATTTTCTTTATACATCAGTGGAAGACACTTGAAAGAACATATGCTTAATAATATTTTACTCATATTTGTTTATTAAAGTATTTTACTGACTTCCTCTTACACAGGTTTGTGACTGACATTTACCTCCAGGATTACAGGCAGGAAATAGAAGAGCTCTGGTCATGTAACCTTTCACTCTTGCTACATAAAATTGATATTGCTTACAGTAGACACATCATTATTTCATTTTAAAACTTCACTTACCTGCCAAAAGTCAAAATAATTATTTTAGAGCTTCCATAATTTAGATCAAATGTCTGGCAGCAATTGTTGCTGGTGGGATTAAATGGGTTAAAATAGCAAATGAAACCACTGACTCCATAGGAAAAAGCTTAACAGGGTAATAAATTTTATGTGAAATGAGGGTCCATTACTAATGGAGTTCAAATGAATCTCCCTTTATTTTACAACATGAACAGCTATAAAATAAAATGGTGACCTCTTGGGGGGGAAAAAAATCTATTTTTGCGCTTCTTCGGATTCACTGTCCAGCTCTGTTATTCAATTTATACAAGGGATAAACAACCAGGAAAATAAAAATATTCAAAGAACTCTTAAGAGATGATTGCTTATTAAAGGAATACTTTTTTTACTATTATTATTTAAGACTCTTACCTATCCAGTCCCAGTGTCTGAAATAAAATAAAGTAGTTCAAAAATCAATAACATTGCATTCGCTTGAAGATTTTTGCCCTTTTAACACAGAATTGCTTTTATTTGAGGCACTTGAAAGTTTGAAATACTTTACACTTTGTTGTGACAGTATAATATAGGATATGAGATAATTTGTAAAAAAAAAAAAAAAAGTGAATCAAGCTTCTCAGCCTTCTCCCTTTGTTCCTACTGCCACCTGAAACTACACACAAAATTCAACAATCCTAGTCAAACAACCAATCAGAGGCAGGAGGACAGTTTTAGCACTGCCAATCAAGCTAGTGTATGTTCTGCTCACATCATCCCCCTTGCTCACTGCTGTATGAACCAAAGCTTGCTGTGAATTCACAGGCTAGTAATCAAGACCACAGTGGATTACGGATGAACAGTTGCAACTGGAAGTTGTTTCTACACATTACTTGAGCCACAAAAGAAATGACAAATCAAACTAGTTAAAAAAATCAATATAGTTGTGATGTATAAACTTAAGGAGCTCCTCTTCCTTTGTTTTTAAGTAATACTTGACTAACTAACAGTGACATTTCTGCAAAGCAGCCAATTGTAGGCTCTACTTAAGCAGACAACCCAACTAATTAACCAGTTAATCTCAATTTGTTGAACTTGTTGCTCTATGAAAAGCAGGACAGCAAAAAGACATGATTTTAGATGCAAAAGCACTTTTAAAAACTATTAAATTGCACAGGAGTTGCAAGATTATAAATGAACAAAACAATGCAAATAAAACAAGTTATTGATAACATCGTTATAAATGCTTACGATTTCTATCTTAGCAGCAACAGATACATTTTTGTCTTAATCAAAAACAGCTGCATGATTTTACATTATTGTTTGACACTTATGTATTTAGTTATTTTTAACCAAAATTGGTCATCCTATGAGAAACCTGTACTGTCTGATCCTCTGGTATGAGGAACAGGCTGAACTTTGCTTTTCGGAGTTCATTCCTTATGATTAAATGATGCTTTGCATTTCCTGTAAAGTTAAATATTTGCATCTCAATTGAATCCTGTACACAGTTTACTTGCTTGTTTAGTTGCTGGTGCATCTGAAATGTTTCAAAACAAAATAGCTGCCATATCTTCGTCACATTAACAGACATTTTTGTGGAGAGACAGAGACAGTTAAGAAGAGAGAGACAGCAAGCAGTACAAAGTCACAGAAAGGGTACAGAGAGAGGAAGGCAGATGCAGACAGTCAGAAAGAGCAGGAAGATTCATCCAGGAGCGCAGAACATCAAAGTAAAGCAGAGATGAAAGAGCTTATCAGGTGTGGAAATGAACCTGACCATCGAGTTCAGCTACACGTCGGCTCCCGAAGTCTAACCTACCAGAACGTGACGTGCACACAAGTGAAGATCCAAAACTCTGATAAATACTTTTGAATAGATTGTATGATGTTCTTATCTCCACTTCCAATAACTACGAGCCTGAAATGGGCATCATTAAGTAAAATATTACAAATAAACTTTTTTTTTATCTAAGCCCATGCAAATCTGGGATGTTGGTGGAAAATTTCTTGATCTTACGGAAACAGACCTGTACATACAACATTCAGTATTCAAATAGTGACGCCATTTTTTCCACTTCGTACCATGATCCAACTACAGACTTGATGTGATTTTTGGAGCAATTACGGCAGCAAGTCTTTAAGGATATCACTCTGCACACTGGGAACATCTGAGGACTGAAATCCTTGCCCAATAGCTCAGATCAGAAGAAGCATTTCTGTGAACATCAGTTTTCATGTTCTTAAATGGATTGAGTTTTGACTTTGACTGGACCATTCTAACACAGGAATATGGTTTGATCCGAACCATTTTGTTGTCGTTTTAGGTTATCTTGATTGAGAACTTCTTCCAAAGTCAAAATTATTTTGTCCAATTTAACAAGTTCCATCCATTTCCCCATTAATTCTGACTAGCTTCTCGTCTCTCCTAAAGAAAAAACGTCTCACAGAAGGATGCTGCCATCATGAATTACTATGGTGATAACTTCTTTAAGGCAGTATGCTAATTAGATGAAAGCCATAAATAGAGTACACATGTGGGCCAAATAGTCTGATGTTTTTTGAAAAAGTTATGTTAATCATTGTAAATCAGTACTATTAATATTGCCACATGTAAATGTCATATTAAAAGAAAGGCAAACAACCTTCTGAAATGTTTCAGTCCTTTTTTGCATGTTCTTGGTCCAGCATTGTTTTTTGTTTATTCTCAACAACAAGAAGGATATGACAGTTTCCTTTAAAAAAATATATGCACTGTATTAAACACACTGGATGTGTCTGTTTTTGGCAAGCCTTGAATGTATAAAAATTCTACCTCTGATTTAGTATGTTGGCCAAAAAAATTGGTTTACTGTCTCATCTGACCAGAGAACAGTTTTCATCTTACTTTCCATGTTTCTTACATTGTTATAGTTTTCTTTCAACAATGCCCATCGATACATAAAAGTCAGTGGTCCTGTCAACAGATTTTCCCACTGAGCTGTGGATCTGTGCAGCTCCTCCAGAGTTACCACAGCCATCTTTTCTCATTCATGTTTTCCTTCTCGGACATTTTGGTATAGTGAGAAAGCCATGACATGAAAGGTTTTTCTCTGTTAGTGTATTACAAAAAATACACTGACATATAATTTGTCAAAATACTGTAAGCTTATTTATTCCAGTTTTAGTTTTCTGCCTACTCAATGTAGGGTATAGATGTTTAAATGTTGGGATACATCTTCAGTCTAAAGAGCAGAAGTAAAGAGCAGATTCTGCCCACATGAGAATGTCGCTTTGAGCTGTGGGAAACAAGGAAGTGTAGAGATGTTCTGAGTAGAATTGTACTAACTAATGCTTAGGAAGACTGCAATTTGTAGCAACACAGATGAAAAATCAAAGTATCTTGGGGAACAATATAAAAAAGTGACAGGTATGAAAATAAAAACAAAGACTCGACATAGCTGATCTTATTAACGATGATATGCAGCGGTATTGTGGCACATTTCATATGCACACAGACAACCAGGCTGTGCACCAACACAAAGCAGCTTCCTCTCCCTGCCTCCCCTCTCTGTGGGCCTGAGGGCTGTGTAGAAGCACCACAGTCTAATGCCATTATTCCTAATCCATCCTAAAGCCTCCTAATCCATGGCTAATCTGGAGGAGAGCTTTCGGAGTCCAAACTCACTCGTTCCTGCTGTTCCCACCCCTCAACACAACACACACCGAGTTTGTTACTTCCTTAGAGGGAGGATTTATCACCGAAACACACATGCGCACGCACACACACCTTAAGAATGGATAATAAACACACTGCATAAAGCACATGTTTCACACCCACCACTGTATATGCACACAAGTGAAATGTATTTTAACAAAAAAAAAGTGTTTTCTTTCACGCACACTTCACTGCTGGCTCCTGCATATGTTAGTGGGAGACATTTGATAAGTTCACAGTATATCTGCCTATCCTGAGCAGGGAGGATTAGCCCAGGATAATCTGCATGCTTGCGTGTACATTTATGTGTGTCTGTGTATTTTTCTCTTTTTGCCTCTGAATCCTCCGCAGAATTCTCCCCCAATCGTTTCTTCTCCCTCCCATTCATTCTCTCACCCACCTCTTCCTTAACTCCCTGTGACAGGCATTTTTGACTCTTACCTCTTGAGAGAGGAAGGGAATGACTTGGGCACAGATTGCATTCAGCCGCTTGACGATCTCCGCCTGTAAGACAGAGGGATGGGTGCAGAGAAAACAAATAACATCAAATTCAACAAGAGACAAAAAGGCGTCCTCTTCATTTAAAGTTCAGCTGATGAGATCACTTAGGATTGTAAATAGGAACCCATATTATTGTCTTTAAAGCAGCTGAACAGTCACATTGGAAACCCGAGTCTAACACAACTAAATATGAATGGTATTCAGAGGATGAGTTAATCCTTAAAGATGAAAAACACCTTTCATCATGTAATGCAATACTACTGCTTTGGGAGGATTGACTCTATTAAGCTGCAAAAAGCACATAAATCTCAAATGTTATTAGTCACTGTAGGAGTTGTTGTTGGGTTGCCCCTCTTCACTCTGCAAGAACACAACCTAACACAAAAACATCACCCAGAACATTGATTGGCCTTGCAAGGTTGCATCAGGTATTCAATACACTTTTCATGCATGCAGTGTGTTTACTTGCCTCAGTTGTGTGTAACACCACATGGTATTTTGCTTCAATATGTTTGTTGTTTGCTAAAAGTGACAGGAGTTTATTTAGCCTCCCGTCAAAACCCTTCTGGAGCTTTGTGCTGTCCACTTTGGCAGTGGAGCATCTTCAGATGAAAATCATGAAAATCCCAACTTTAAATAATCACAGTTATACTTCCCTCCTTTTCTTGCTTTTATTGCTCAACCTAAGCTCTTTTTATTCGCTGTAGCTTTAGATAACATTCTATTAATTTTGTCTCTGGGGTTGATGAAGTTGGCTAAATATCTGCAGTCATTTTTCCAGTTTGTACTTTTTCCTCATGTAACGCTCACTCTAAAGAACTGGTGAACATGACCCACACTGTGATAAACACTGCTCAATGCCAAATTAGATATTTTGATGGAGAAATGAACAAAATGGGTGTTAAGAAAATGTTCAACCTTTTAAGTGGAATATTCTCTTCTCTATTACACAAAGGGAAACCTTTCACTAAAGATTTAAATTGGGTGACATGATCAGCTGAATACAAATAGAAGTGTAAATGTTTACATTCAAGTGTGTGCATTTATCTGTGCAGAAAAAAAAACTATGACAAAATACACAACCACTGTAATTATCATCACATTCATAAGATGCACCGCCCAAATTATTGCAGTTGGCACTACTGCAAATACCATCATTAAGTTGTCTTTGAAACTGTAAAAGCCTCTAGAGGAGAATTTGTGTGCACTAGAAATACTGTAGTGCAGACATATAAACAGACATCATGAATGATGAGGGATGAAGCTTTCATCTGCTCCATTTTTATGAAATAATGTTAACACTCCCTACATTTTCACCCTTTCAAAGTCAAGTGCATTTTCATCAGAGTACGTGAGCATCATTCCTGAGTTGGAGCAATCCATCTTTGGCCTTGAAATCCAGCTGTCGCCTTTTTGCAATCAAGGTGTTCTGTGTTACCTTAGCAGCTCTGAATGTATTAAATATCAACACTTACTGAGTGCACACTGGTTTCAACGCTTTAGACTCACAAAATATGTCACTAACTGCACAAAAGTGGCAGATTAGAAGTACTGTAGTTGTGAAGTCGTCAGTAGGTTGGTAGCAAACACTGTTTGGTTTCATGTGAAAGAATTAAAATACCCTTCAACAGCTTGTGTGTTTTTCACTTATCTGGACATAAAGGTATTTTATATACATTTGTAAAAAGTTTCAGTAATAAAAATTTGTATTCCATAAACTTTTAATTAATATTCTGATTTATTAAATTGTGTCACAATCCTTGAGAGTTTCTGTTTTGGTCATTTTCTTGGTGTTCTTTATGTTTTGCATACAGTGTATTACCATTGTCAGTCCATTTCAACGTTAAGAAGGTTGTTGTCATTGTCGTTCATTTCTGTGTTTAGTTTTTTTTTTTTGTTTGTTTATAATTTGGTTCTTTATGTTCTCTAAGCTAAACCTTAGTCTTTTCTCTTTGGGTTGCGGTTCCTGTTGAATCTTAGTTGACAGCCAATATGATAATGATCAAAAGTGAATGATTATCAACCTCTCCTTTATTACTTGATGCTTAATTCATTAGTAACATGTTAATTAGACAACGATCATCATTTAAAAGGTGTCATATAAAGAGAAATTTATTTCTCAGTATGTTATTTCAGTGAATTTCTTTGGAGCAGCTGTCTAAAAATATAGTTTATGTTTGCTCCATTAATCAGGTAAATAAATAGCAAATCTAATAAATTACCTTTTTCAAAGTCTGGCAAGCGAAGCAGAAGAGGCAACATCTCTAACCTTGTTTCATGTACATAACCTTTGAAGAGGTGAACTTTGGTATCAGTGGTACCAGACTTCCCCTGAGGCAACGACAGCAAACCCCCAACGCACACTTAAATAAATCCCTCAGCCAGAAGCTCAAGCAAAGCTACATCAGACGCATAAACACAACTTTACGAACACCCAGACACACATCAAGAAGCAAAGGCAACCCCACCTCCCACCCCCCACAGACTTCTTTGTATTCATCAGATGTTTTTACTGAACCTGAGGCTTGGCTTTTAAAGATTATACAGCACTTACTTCCTCCAGATCAGGTGGGATACTTTTTTTTTTACAGGAAGCTGCCTGATCCACTGTCCCAAAGGGAGTGCTACCAGTGCAACTCAAATCCAAACATAAACAGAGACAAAAGACATGACTAGAACAGAAACGCATATTAATAGGCAGCTGAGGATGAACATCACATTATTTATTTGTAACACAAACAACGTCAGGCTCCATCTGGACAGTATTTCCTCTTGTGATTAACTTGGATGAAGTTTATAGTGGGAATACCTGCAGAATGTGAAGTAATGTGGGAACCTCTGATAGAAAAAAGAAAGGAAATTCTTGATATTTTTGGCTGAACAGCTTAATCTAAGAAAGTTTTTTGCAGTTTAGAAATATTCTAAAGAAACAGTAGCTGGATTTTAAAATATAAAACAATGTGGTTTATTTAATGGTGACCAGTGTGAATTGCATCCCTTTTTAAATGCAGTTTTTAAAATATAATATTCAATAAAAATGTGTTTGGAAAATGTAATAAATATTATAAAAAATTCCGAACTTGTATTTGGTCGGTCATCTAGAGGAAATACTTTATCTGAGGCAGTCTAGCTAACATCACTTCCTCTGTGGAGTAAAATAATGATTAAAAGCATCTTATAATGAAAGGACATTATGTTTAAAGGCTCCTGATTTAGACCTTTGACCAAACTGTGGCAGCTGCAGTTCATCAACTTTACCCACATATCAACACCACAGTCAAATATGGTGGAAGGAGGGAGATAATTTAGTGCTGCTTTGGTGCTTCAGGACAACTTGCCATAATTGATTGAACTATGAATGAAGACTGGGCTCTGAAATGGGACTGTTGGTAGCATTGTTGCCTTACAGCAAGAATATCCTAAGTTTGAATTCGAGCTAGTTAGTGTGCTGACTAATGTCAGGTAGGTTAGAGTAGTTATATGAAGTATTACTTAATTTTTTATAGTGTCCATCCTTTATCTGTAAACTTGGAACAAATGACAAGGTTTCTCTCTGAACAGGTTGCCAAGCCAACACATTAAATTTCTGAGTAAATGCAGTGACAAATCATTCTCAGAATCATATTTTTTGGTCTGTGTGAAGAAGGCAGAGTACCCAGAGAGAAACCAGACCTACATAAGGAGAAAGTGAAAACTCCATGCAGAAAGACCCCAGGTTCAAACCCAGGATATAACTGCAAGGCAACAAAGCTAAGAACTGCACACATTGCAGCCTTTATGCAGACATTACATGATCAAAAATGTAAAATTGTCATTTGCTATTCGCAATTATGCTTTTGATGTTCCTCAACAAGAATCAAAATATTGTGCGATACAGAATACATAATATTAATATTCATCTCAAAAGATCTTCCCATTTCTGAGTGGAATATTTCAACTTCTTTTGAATAAAGTGCAGAGGTGAGGAGGTCAGTGGAAACGCTAATGGAATTGAGAAACCTAGGAAATGGGATTTAGTCCTAATGTTATGTAGTATTGTAAAATAGGCTTTTGGTCAAATAAGTATGTACTACAGAGCCCTGTTTGTGAGATTGCATGTTGATAGAGCATCATTGCCAATTCAGTTTAGTTTTTTAATCACATACTTCAATAAATACCAGAAAATTAGCCTCTGATTCTCCAGTGAGGTTTTGATTAACAATCAAAAGTTGTTAATGTCTATTATTGTTAGAACAGTGCAGAAAAGAAAAAAAAAAGTGTGAACAGACACACATAAGTTAATTTAATTGATGATCGTTGTCATATACTGGTGAATAAAACCTATTTATAATTAATTCTGTTTAATTCAGTTTAGTTTCAAAAGAGACATTAAATGGTTGTTTGAAAAACCACTTTCACAGAGTCTTACAGTGCCTGGTGGAAGGGAAGAAGAGAAAAATGTATTATTATTTTTCTCTTTTTACATACTGATATTGTAGAACTGCACCAGTACGCTCTCTTTCAGAGAAAACCTAAAACACTGACATTTTCATTTTATATTTAGTCTTTATACAGGCAAGATGTGCTGAGCACACATGCCCTTTTTCGGTTTGACTCCTCTTCACATTTCTGCACACCGGGGAACTCACCCATTCATATTAGCCTCTGATTCTCCAGTGAGGTTGTTACTGGGGTTTAAGTGCTTTGCTCAAGGGAACATTGGTGTTAAGTGTTGGCCATGTTCAATATTTATACAGCTGGAAAAAGGAGCAAGTGATGCTGCTTAAGCTGAATGCAAAGCTTAATGGCTGTTCGAGGAGGCACTGACGGCTACTGGAAAGGAGGCTAAATTTGGTACCATAGCTACTGTTACTATCTTCTAAATAAATGTTTAAAATTCTTATGTAATGACATAATTCAAATGGAAACAAAACTCTCCCATCTACTGTAGTCTACTGAAAAATAAAGTGTATTTTGCTGTTCTAACACAACGAAAGTAAAGTATTCTTTTCATATTTGACACC